GTCTTGATCTCCTGATCTTGTGATCCACCATCTCGGCCTCTCAAAGTGCTGGGATTACAGGCTTGAGCCACCGTGCCTGGCCCTTCATTTGATTGTTAAAGGGTCTGTGCCTCAAAAAATGTTAACCTCTGCTTTCTTGGTTGGTATCCTGCAATTATTGTTAATGCTTCAAATAAGGTAATCTCCAGTAGGGAAGTCATAGATGAATTTGCTTGCCTGTCAGTGAGCAATGTGTGCTACTAGATTGAGTTCCATATCAGCCACAGCCTTAGAAATGTATTAGTAAATTAAAAGTTCAAAGAGTTGTAGCATCTGCACTAGGAATCTTTAGAGGTGGTCATTACAGAGTGGCATGAGGAGTAAATCTGCCTGTTGTCTGCCTGTGGTTTCATCAGTTGTTAAATGAGGTTAATAACTACCTTGTTGTGATCATTAAATGAAACCATGTTTTTAAAAAAGGGGAGTACAACAGAACTCTCTCTTCCCTCACCTGCCATTCTATTGCCCACCTCTTTTTAAAAAGATGTGAATTACAGATTCTTTTTTGTGAAAGATGGGCCTAAATAACTCTTGGTATATGGAAGAAGAGTAAGATACATTTTGAGTTTTGGTGTTTTATTTAGGGATGACGTCCAAAATATTTTACCAATCATCTGGTTATATAGACTAATATATAACTCAAAATATAAGAATGTTTTCCCTTTTACTCTCCAAAACAATGAAATTCCTATATGTGTGTTATAAAATTGCTTGTTATATGTCTGTGTGTTTGTATTGGTGGTTCTCACTAAGTAAATTAATGCCCCATCTGATCCATAATGTGACACAGGGAACTATGTCAAACTATTGCACTGACTTCTCTCTGAAAACAACACCTATTAAGTGCTTTGTAATCTCAATAAGTAGAGAATTTCTCCTAACATCAATGCTACTGTTCATGGTACTGAGTGTTCTTTCATATTTTGTTGAACTACCACCGATAACATTTTACTTACTGTCTGAGATTTTTACGTATTAACTATATTGTCTAGGTCAAGTAATATATTTTATTAGAAAGTCATTTTTAGGCTGAGCACAGTGGCTTACACCTGTAATTCCAGCACTTTGGGAGGCCAAGGCAGGCAGATCACTTGAGGTCAGGAGTTTGAGATCAGCCTGGCCAACGTGGTGAGATCCCAACTCTACTAAACATACAAAAATTAGCCGGACATGGTGGCACATGCCTGTAGTCCCAGCTACTGGGGAGGCTGAGGCAGAAGAATCGCTTGAACCTGGGAGGCGGAAGTTGCAGTAAGCTGAGATCACACCACTGCACTCCAGCCTGGGAGAGAGAGCGAGGCTCCATCTCAGGCGGGGGAAAAAAAAGTCATCTTTAGATCAGATTTCGTCTTTCAGGCAGATGAGAAGCTGTATTAGCAAAGCAGAAGTGTGGGCCCTGTTGCCACACTGGGTGGCACACACTGTGCCACACCCTGTGCCACCTGGGTACAAATCCTAGCTTGCCATTTAAATTTTAAATAACTTCTCTGTGCCTCAGATTTTCCTTATCTATAAAATGAGAGTGCTGATAAGTATTATAAGTATTTAGGACAGTGCCTGGCAGAGTAAGCCCTGTATGTTTTAAGCTCTCATTTTTATTTTTAAAAAATTGTATTCGTCCCATGACAGGTGGGTATTCAGTTGGTGTAACTTACTACTGCTATTAAATTGGGGGTGAAATTCAGCAGGGATGATGAAAAGGAGGATCCCTACCCTAGATATTTCCTGGCACCAAACTGCCCTCCTTTTGGCTAGAATGACAGCAGAACCCATAACACCAAGCTAGTGCCCATGGGGGCCACATTACCACCCATCTGACATGGTTCTAGCTCTCTTAGAATCAAAAGCACATGGAGGCTGCAGCCCCCACAAATAATCTCACAAATTGGAATACTGCTAGCAGCAGGTGTCCATGGCTTTAGGAACCCATGTACGCACCAGGCATTGGCCTTTCAGAGTGCCCACACCACTGCCAGCAGTGCCATCTTCTCTGCGGGCATCAGGCCAGCTCCAGAAAGAGAATATGTGGGGATGGGGCCTGGTGTTTAGGAGTCATGGTATGCAAATCAGTGGTTACAAGGGCAAAGATGGGGTACAAGATGCCAACTGCAAGTCACAGACTGGCTCTAGTAGGGGTGATGGAGTTTACTGATGGTGGTATCAGTATGACAAGACTTTGGGGAAGATCGACTGGAATGGGTACTGATTAATCAGGATAGGTACTGTATTGCCAGACCAGTGTCTGTGAGGCCTCCTTTAGTTACTGGATTGTGGGGTCATCCAAGAGACTGGGCAGGAAACCTAATGCTAAAATTTTATCTTGTGTTCCTGCTGAGCGTCTAAGGTGATGTAATATTCTAAATAAACACATACCCTATCTTCAGGTAGGAATTACATTTCCAAAAATAGTTTTTAAGTTGAGGGCCTGTTTGTGGCTGCCTAGAAAGGGCAAGTGCCTGAACAACACTGCTTTTGCTGTGGGGAAAGGAGGAAAAAAGCTACCAGATTCCTTCTATCGTATTGTTGCTCTAAGAGCCTATGATTGATTCCTTGAGGGCCATCCCTGAAGGGAGTTACAAAACAGCTTTTAGCAGATTACTGTAAGGCACTCAAAGAAAGCTTAAGCTGCATTGTATTTCAGTCTATTTAGCAGAACACGTTGTGGTTCTTTCTGTCAGGCTAGTGAAATAATAAACATCAGGCTAAGAGCTTATAATCAAGCTTCCATTTTTAAAAGGCCATTATTCAGGTTGGATAGAGTAAATTTGAATCCACTCAAAGTCTATTTTATGCTTAATTCTGTTCTTCAACAAAGGCAGTTCTTTTTGTTCTTTGTCTTTACATCTGTACAATGTGTAGGTCATCATTCTGTCATGCTAAGGTCTATTGGGAACTTGTAAGTACTGTGAGAAACTGTATTATAGTTCAAAAAAGTACAGGAATATGCAACTTCATACCTGGTTAAATTGAGTGAGTTAATTCCTCTGAACATTAGTGATCTCATCTGCAAGTGTAGATAGCTTTTCCCCACCTCCTCTTTTATTTCTCATGGTTGGGGGCAATTACCTGAGAATTTTGGGCTTGGAGATAGAAATCACCAGGAATTTGTTAGCAGTTTAAAGCTTAGGGGTAGCCATTATCATTTTTCTAGTCTCCCATCTTGTTTTCCAGATAAGAATAATTAAGGAACTTAACCAAGATCACAAAGATATTTGATGACTGTAGAGAATAATAAAATACTCAGATTTGGGGGGAATATTGTGATTCTTTAGCATAATAATGAAAGCATGCCCTATTAAGTCTGTATTTCCTACATGAGTAAGTAATGAATGGTTCTCAAAGGGATGTAGTTAGATAATATATTGCAGAATCATTAAGAGGGAGAGCTTTTCCAAATTACAGGTTTTCTGCTCAGTTGAGGGGGGATGTCAGAATCACTGGGGAGGGACCAGTAATGGGAAGGCATAATTTTTTTTCTCTCAAAAACTATTATGTGTATATGGTTTTTAAAAAAAAAAAAAAAGTTTATGCAAAAGGTTTTAGTGTAAACAATGAAAAGTAAGTCTCCCTATAAATCCCCAACCTTAGAGGTAACTACAGTTAACAGTTTTTTATGTGTCCTTCTAGAAATGTTATATGTAAATGTGTAAGAATGTATTTTTTATTTTTATATATGTATGTATTAATGGAAACATTTTATATGCTCTTCTGTAACCCTTTTATTGTTTTTACTTAGTATCAATATTCAGTATATAGAGAGCTGCTGCTTTTTTTAAAGGACTACATAGTATCACATTATAAAGCTGCACCAATATTTAACCAGTCTCTTATTGAGAAGATACTTGTTAGTTTTCTGCTTTTTTTTTTTTTTTTTTTTTTTTTTTTTTTTTTTGAGATGGAGTCTCGCACTGTCGCCCAGGCTGGAATGCAGTGGTGTGATCTCAGCTCACTGCAAGCTCCGCCTCCCGGGTTCACGCCATTCTCCTGCCTCAGCCTCCTAAGTAGCTGAGACTACAAGGGCACACCACCACGCTTGGCTAACTTTTTGTATTTTTAGTAGAGATGGGGTTTCATCGTGTTAGCCAGGATGGTCTCCATCTCCTGACCTCATGATCCACCCGTCTCGGCCTCCCAAAGTGCTGGGATTACAGGCGTGAGCCACCACGCCCAGCCCAGTTTTCTGCATTTATTTATGTATTTATTGAGACAGAGTCTCACTCTGTCGCCCAAGCTGGAGTGCAATGGTGCAATCTCAGCTCACTATAACTTCCACCTCCCACGCTCAAGCAACTCTAGTGCCTCAGCCTCCTGAGTAGCTAGGACTACAGGCATGCACCACCACACCTAGCTTTTGTTTTTGCTTTTTTTTTTTTTTTTTTTTTTTTTGGCGACACACTCTTGCTCTGTCATCCAGGTTGGAGTACAGTGGCCGTATCTTGGGTCACTACAACCTCCACCTCCCAAATTCAAGCAATTCTCCTGTCTCAGCCTCCTGAGTAGCTGGGATTACAGGCGCCCATCACCACACCAAGCTAATTTTTGTATTTTTAGTAGAGACGGGGTTTCGCCATGTTGGCCAGGCTGGTCTCGAACTCCTGACCTCAAGTGATCCACCCACCATGGCCTCCCAAAACGCTGGGATTACAGGCGTGTGCCACCACGCCTGGCCAGTTTTCTGCTTTTAAAACAGTGGAACAGTAAACATCCTGGTATATCTTTAGCACAGCCCAATTATACCTACAGGATAAATTCCTAAACATGGAATTATCAAAGGGTATGTGTGCATTTTAGATTTTCATCAGTAACTGCCAAAGAGATTGAATAGTTGACATCAAATGTATGTATTTAGAAAAGCTCCCCTGGTATTCATGGAAAATATATTTCCTCTAAAACTCTGTTGCAGGGTAAGACTTGGTTTGACTCTAATAAACTCATATTTACTTTCTTGTCTTCATCTGAAGCCTGTGCCTACTGCACTGGCACAAGTGGATAGAGAAAAGATCTATCAGTGGATCAATGAGCTGTCGAGTCCTGAGACAAGGGAAAATGCTTTGCTGGAGCTAAGTAAGAAGCGAGAGTCTGTTCCTGACCTTGCACCCATGCTGTGGCATTCATTTGGTACTATTGCAGCACTTTTACAGGTGGGTTTATATCCATGATTGGCAGTTCAGTTCTTTTCATTACCCTTGTATATTTCTTTACTTTTGCCCAAATGATTTGAAGACTTTAGGAGGATGATTCTTTAAAAATCTGCATTCGTAAGAACCTATTTTAGAAAGGTCTGAGGTATTCGTTAAAATGCAAATTCTTGGATCCTTACCCAAGAGATTCAATTTAGTCAGTCTGAGGTGGGCCCTCTACTCTATATTTTAATAAGCACTTTCACCACCCCCAGATGATTGTGATGCAGGTGATCTAAGAACTACACTTTGACAGACATAGCTTTAGGAGTACCGTAAGATAAATCTACATGACAGCGGGAGAAAGGTGGAAGGTAGAGTATAAGGACCACAAGGTATAATATATTCCATGGAAAAGAAATGTTTCTTGAGGGTTTTTGTTTGTTTGTTTGTTTTGTTTTGTTTTCTTGAGACGGAGTCTCGCTCTGTCTCCCAGACTGGAGTGCAATGGTGCAATCCTGGCTCACTGCAACCTCTGCCTGCTGGATTCAAGCGGTTCTCCTGCCTCAGCCTCCTGAGTGTCTGGGATTACAGGCATGCGTCACTATGCCTGGCTATTTTTTTTTTTTTTTTTTTTTTAGTAGATACGGAGTTTCACCATGTTGGTCGGGCTGATCTTGAACTCCTGACCTTGTGATCCACCCACCTCGGCCTCCCAAAGTATTGGGATTACAGGCGTGAGCCACCGTGCCTGGCCTGGAAAGGAAATGTTGAAAATATAACAGCGGCCGGGCGCAGTGGCTCAAGCCTGTAATCCCAGCACTTTGGGAGGCCGAGACGGGCGGATCACAAGGTCAGGAGATCGAGACCATCCTGGCTAACATGGTGAAACCCCGTCTCTACTAAAAAAATACAAAAAACTAGCCGGGCGAGGTGGTGGACGCCTGTAGTCCCAGCTACTCGGGAGGCTGAGGCAGGAGAATGGCGTGAACCCGGGAGGTGGAGCTTGCAGTGAGCTGAGATCCGGCCACCGCACTCCAGCTTGGGTGACAGAGTGAGACTCTGTCTCAAAAAAAAAAAAAAAAAAAGAAAAAGAAAATATAACAGCTGTAGTATTAAAGGTGGATACACTTGTACATTAAATAATAGATAACTAAAGTTCGGTTCAAACCAGAATGGTCACTGTTGGCTAATTAATTGGTATGGCACAATACTGAAATACCTAGGTAGTGGCATGATCATCCATTAACGTGTTGCCCCAGATTCCTAATAATTAGATTAACTTTTCAACTCTTAAGTAAATTTACATTCCATCTCTATTGCATTTAGCCAAGAAACTGATCTTTGTTATGGGAACGTTTTTCTATGTAAAAGTTTTACAAATAATGTAAATGGAAAATTGTAGCCGTGTGCAGTGGCTCATGCTTGTAATCCCAGCACTTTGGCAGACCGAGTTGGGAGGATTGCTTGAGCCCAGGAGTTTGAGACCAGCCTGGGCAACATGGCAAAACATCATCTCTACAAAAAAATATAAAAATTAGCCAGTCTTGGTGGTATACCCCTGTAATCCCAGCCTCTTGGGAGGCTGAAGTGGGAGGATCAATTGAGCCCAGGAGGTGGAGTCTGCAGTGAGCCATGATCATGCCACTGCACTCTGCCGGGATGACAGAGTGAGACACTGTCTCAAAAATATATATATATATATATAAACGGAATTGTATTGAGTAAGTCATTACTTTTTGCCAGATAGTGCATATATTCACTGCTGTTTATACATATCGCCACCCATTGATTCATGTCCTTACTATAGTTACTACCTAATCAGATTCAAACTTCTTTATGAGTCACTGTGGTTGACTTGACACTTTCTGGCCAGCGATCTCATCACTGTAACTTAAAGCAGGATGCTGGCAAAAGGAGGGATTATACAAATTTGAGTATCCCTCAACTGATAGCCTCAGTGGCTGGAGAATATAAGAGGAAGTGTAGATGACTACATTTGCCTCCATAGAAATCTTCCTAGAGACAAATGTAGAAATGTCTTAGCTAGTCTCAGCCAAGTAAGTTTGTGATGAAAGGATATGAGCATTATTTCTACTCCCTCTTTGATGATTCAGTTCTTAAAAGATGCATAGAATTAAGAGCTATTTTCTTTGCCTTTTTTTTGTTTTGCTTTAGTACCATGGGAATTAATTTTTAGTTATTCTTTATTCATCTGATGCTGATTTCCATTTTTTAGGAAATTGTAAATATTTATCCATCTATCAACCCACCAACCTTGACAGCACACCAGTCTAACAGAGTTTGCAATGCTCTGGCATTACTGCAATGTGTAGCATCACATCCAGAAACCAGGTAAATGCTTTGGGTTAGTCATTTGGGGGAGCTATACATTGAATATGGTCCTAAACTTTCTCTGAATAATAAAAGGAAGGGCATGCAAGAGAGAGAGAGCAAGCGAGTGTGTGTGTGTGTGTGTGTGTGTGTGTGTGTGTGTGTGTGTGTCTCTCTCTCCCCTGGTCTTCCGGATTCTTGTTTACTTTTACCCAAAGAACTTTAAAGAAACAGTGTTGACGTTACAGGAAAGGTATCAGGCATATAGCTACTTCTCACTCCCTAACCTGTTATTAACACTATGTCATCTGTGAGGCATAGTGCATGGCATATAAGAGGAATTTAGTAAATATTTTTCTAGCACTTTTCCCCAACTGAACCCAGATTTGACTTCAGAATCCTTCTTAACATAGCATTCGCAGTGCCCTCTATAATAGGCGAGATTTGGCATGTGAGTTAAAATATTTTTGCCACCTGTCATATCTGAAAAATTAAGAAAAGGGAAATCCTGTTCAGGAATCTACTTTGTGGACTTCTATGACCCCAAAAGTACTTAACAGTCATCTTACTAAAGCCTTTCCTCTTTATCAAGTTTCCTTATGAAATATGAATGCTAGGTTGGCACTGGCCTTACATAGCTTTAGAGAAGTTACTAAGAAAATTACTTTTAAGCACTTAATAAAAACACAAGAGTACTTTGAGTGTTAAAAATCTTGGGCGTTGGCTCTTCTATAAGGTATAACTATAAATAATATAAAATAATAGACTGGTTTCCATATTAGTTGCCTGACTAAACTGTTTTCAGAATGGTTTGTGTATCTGAAATGCCCTAACAAAGAAAAAAGTATGTGCTTATTAAAGTATAGCAGGTAAGCCTGATAATGGCTGCTTTGTTTTGTTGTCTTGGTTTGTAAGGTTTATTCGACTGCACCTGTGAATACTATTATTCAGTCATAGGTGAGGGAGGTAATCTGGGACAATCTCTGGGACACTTAATAGCATTTTGTGGTCTATTTTTTAAAATCCACAATTGGATATTTTAAGTTAATCAGTTTGTAAGGTACTTTCTGCTGATTACAGGGAAAATCATGTGTTTTCTTAGCCACTGTGACCTGGACTAGGGTTTTCAACTTTTGCACCATTAACATTTGGGGCTGGATGAATCTTTGTGGTGGGAAGGAGAGGGCAGGAGAGGACTGTCCTGTGCATTGTAGGATGTTTAATGGCATCTCTGGCCTCTGCCCACTGGATGCCAACAGTGCTCTATAATCCTGAGTTGTGACAATCAAAAATGTCTTCAGACATTGCCACATGGGGGGAAAATTTACCCCATTTGAGAACCATTGATTGAAACTAATGACCAGTAACATTGTTTCCTAAGGATTCCTTGCTCTGACAATGTTAAGGCCTTACAGAATTAACCACCTAGAAATTTGAAAGTTCAGGATCCTTAGAAATCAACCCTGGGCTGTGAATGTAATTATTGTTTTCTTCCAGGTCAGCGTTTCTCGCAGCACACATCCCACTTTTTTTGTACCCCTTTTTGCACACTGTCAGCAAAACACGTCCCTTTGAGTATCTTCGGCTCACCAGCCTTGGAGTTATTGGTAAGTTATTAGAATTGTTTTGCAAGCCTGAAATACTCACAGTAGTAGTCTAAGTTGGGTGTTTTGTCTTGCCGCTCATGATTTTTGTACACCAGTCATTCATTTTTCTCTTTGACATTGTCTCATTCACTAATCAGTAAGTATCAGGAACATGATGACTCCTATCAGGCACACTTCTAAGTGTTGTTAATAAGGCTTTGAGATCTAACCTTTGGTATTAAATTCAGCATATATGTAGAAACATTTGCTGGAATTGCAGGGAGAGTAAAGCATAAGAACTCGATTCAGTATATAAAGAGTATTATTAAAGGAATAAGAGTTTACATTTGGGACTTGACCTCACCCTCGCCCTCACCCTCGCCCTCGCCCTCACCCTCGCCCTCGCCCTCTCCCTCTCCTGTCCTCTCTTCCTGATAGGGTCTTGCTGTGTTACCCAGGCTGGACTTGAACTCCTAGGCTCAAGTGATCCTCCTGCCTCAGCCTCCCAAGTAATAGGGACCATGGGCACAGGCACACACCCCTGTCTTTTTTTGTTTGTTTTTCTTACTTCTAATACCAGAATGCTTCGTATATCTGAAACGCCCTAAGAATGTGCATGTCAAATACACTAAGCATTCTGAAAACCTGTAATTCTCCCATAACTCCAGGAATATGAATCTGTCAGTTCACCTAGTTAAATTTTTTCATGCTCAAGTTAATGTATAAATACATTTACTGTGGGGGTATGGATAAAATACTTTTTACTTAAAATAATATATCAGCAATTTCAGATCTCAGACTCTTCAGACATTAAAAGGAAAGTAAGGGAATACTGCTTACAACTCCATACTCATAAATTTCACAACTTAGATGAAATGAAAACATTCTTTGAAAGATGCTATTTGCCAAATTGCACTCAAGAAAAAACAGGTAAGCTGAATAGTTTTATATCTATGAAATACATTGTTTTTGTAGTTGCAAACCTTCTAACATAAAAATGGCTCACCTGTCTTCACTAGTAAATTTTACCAAATACATAAAGAAGAAATAAACCAATTCTACAAAACTTTTCCAGAACATAGAAAGGAGGGAACATTTCTCAACTCTTTGTGAGACCAGCATTAGACTGTTAATAAAACCAGACAAGCTGAGTCTTTGGGGAAAAGTCAGTAAAATTGATAAAGCTCTAACCAGACTGACTGAGAAAACATTTATATCCTTAACCCTAACTTATATCATCCTACTTAGATGATACATTTATGAGTTAAGGATATAAATGTTTTCTTTAGGCTCGGATTACGTTGAGTATATGAGACAATTGTTACTCCTTACATGCCAAAGTTTTAAATTGTATTTCCTGATTGTGGTTTATAATTTTAAGAAAAAAGCATTGAGAAAGGAAGAAAACAAAACAAAAAAAATGCTTGAATGGATTAACATTTCATAAGCCCAGAGATAGTTCTTTGCTACCCAGGAGTCTGAGAGCTGAAATAGCTGATACATTATTTTCTTAAGTAAAAAATGTTTACCCTTATCTCCCGTAGTAAATGTATATAAAAACATTAACTTGAGCATGAAAAAATTTTAGTTAATGTTGAAAAACTGAATACTTTTTTCCTAAGATCAAGTACAAAGCAAGGATGTTCATTCTCACTACTCCCATTTAATAAAGAGCCTTCAAATTAGAAAGAAAAAACAGTACTAGCTACTCACAGACAATATTATTTCATAGACAATCCCAAATAATCTACAAAAAAACTACTAAAACTAAAGCTAGTAAGTTTAGCAAGGTTGCAGGATACAAAGTCAGCATATAAAAAATCAATCAAGTCCGGGCATGGTGGCTCATACCTGTAATCCCAGCATTTCAGGAGGCCGAGGCGGGTAGATCACTTGAGGTCAGGAGTTCAAGACCAGCCTGGCCCACATGGTGAAACCCCATCTCTACTGAAAAAGAATTTAAAAAGGCAAAAATTAGCCGGGCATGGTGGCATGTGCCTATAGTCCCAGCTGCTGGGGAGGCTGAGGCAGGAGAATTGCTTGAACCTGGGAGGTAGAGATGCAGTGATTGCAGTGAGCCAAGACTGCGCCACTGCGCTCCAGCCTGGGTGGCAGTGGGAGACTCTGTCTCAAAAATAAAAATAAAAATTAAATTTCTATATACTAGCAATGAACAATAGGAAATTGATTTTTTTTTTTTTTTTTTGAGACAAGGTCTTGCTCTGTCACCCCCTTTTTTTTTTTTTTTTTTTTTTTTTTTTTTTTTTTTTGAGATGGAGTCTCGCTCTGTCGCCCCAGCTGGAGTGCAGTGGCCAGATCTCAGCTCACTGCAAGCTCCGCCTCCCGGGTTTAAGCCATTCTCCTGCCTCAGCCTCCAGAGTAGCTGGGACTACAGGCGCCCGCCACCACACCCGGCTAGTTTTTGTGTGTTTTTTTTTTTTTAGTAGAGACGGGGTTTCACCGTGTTAGCTAGGATGGTCTTGATCTCCTGACCTCGTGATCCACCCGTCTCGGCCTCCCAAAGTGCTGGGATTACAGGCTTGAGCCACCGCGCCCGGCCTCACTTTTGAGTGCAGTGGCATGATCATGGCTCACTGCACCCTCAAACTCCTGGAATCACACAAATCCTCCCACCTCAGCCTTGAGAAACTGGGACCATAGGCACATGGCACCACACCTGGCTACATTTTCTTATTTTTTTGTAGAGACAAGGTCTCACTTTGTTGCCCAGGCTTGTCTCAAACTTCTGGGCTCAAATGGTTCTCCTGCCTTGGCCTCCCAAAGTGCTGGGATTACAGTTGTGAGCCATTGCACCCAGCTGAAATTTTTTTAAACTACCATTTATAACAGCACCAAAACGTGAAAATTTGGGTATAAATCTTTTAAAATATATTCATGATCTATAACTGAAAACTACAAAACTGATTTCTAATGAAATAAAATGCAGAGATAAACCATGTTCATTGATTGGTGTATCAGTGATTCAGTATTGTTAAGTTGTTCGTTCTCCACAAAGTGATCTATAGATTCAGAGTAATTCCAACAAAATCCCAGCAGCATTTTTTATAGAAATTGACAGGCTGACTGCTATGGACTGAATTGTGTCCTCCCCAAAATTTCATGCTTTGAAACCCTACCCCCTCATGTCATGGTATTTGGAGATGGGATCTTTGAGAGATAATTAGGTTTGAATGAGGACATGGCCCGCATGGTGAGGTTAGTATTCTTCTAAGAAGAGACACCAAAGATCTTGTTCTCCCTCATTCGCTCTCTGCCATGTGAGGACATAGTGAGAAGGTGGCCATCTACAAGCCAGGAAGAGAGCCTTTACAAGAACTATACCATGCTGGCACCCTGATCTCAGCTTTTTTTTTTTTTTTTTTTTTTTTTTTTTTTTTTTGAGACAGATTCTTGCTCTGTTGCCAAGGCTAGAGTGCAGTGGCATGATTTTGACTCACTGCACCCTTTGCCTCCTGGGTTCTAGCGGTTCTTCCTCAGCATCCTGAGTAGCTGGGACTACAGGTGTGCACCACCACACCTGGCTAAATTTGGGGTTTTGTTTTTGTTTTTGTTTTTTTGAGATGGAGTCTTGCTCTGTCGCCCAGGCTGGAGTGCAGTGGCGCAATCTCGGCTCACTGCAAGCTCCGCCTCCCGGGTTCCCGCCATTCTCCTGCCTCAGCCTCCTGAGTAGCTGGGACTACAGGCGCCGCCACCACGCCCGGCTAATTTTTTTGTATTTTTAGTGGAGACGGGGTTTCATTGTGTTAGCCAGGATGGTCTCGATCTCCTGACCTCGTGATCTGCCCGTCTCGGCCTCCCAAAGTGCTGGGATTATAGGCTTGAGCCACCGCGCCCGGCCGTCTTTTTTTTTTTTTTTTTTTTTTAACATGAGTGCGAATCTGATCCCTTTAACTAACAAACCCCAGTTTGTGTTCTGTTATTTAAGTTCCACAACTCACTGGATAAACAGTTTGAAGTTAATTTTAACTGGAAATCCTAACTGTAAAATAATTTTGTTTGTCCTTATTTTCTTTAGGGGCCCTGGTGAAAACAGATGAACAAGAAGTAATCAACTTTTTATTGACAACAGAAATTATCCCTTTATGTTTGCGAATTATGGAATCTGGAAGTGAACTTTCTAAAACAGTATGTGCTTTTAACTTAGATTTTACATTGTGTTGACTCTTGAGCTGCTTCCTTATGGTTCTGGAATCATTTTCTGTCTTCAAGCTTTTGAAATTTGTATGAATATTTTTTCTCTTTTGAATAAAAATTGTTATAAAACAATTATTGGAAAACCCAAACCATTCAGAGGAAAATCAAGTTAAACACTAAATTTCTTTTCTCCAAACCCATATCTCACTCCACAGGTAAATTCTAAGTACATTATTACAGTTTAATTTTTTTAATTTTAAAATTTCAATCCTGCTCCTTCTGTAACCAGACTTTTTTTTTTTTTTTTTTTTTTGAGACGGAGTCTCGCTCTGTCGCCCAGGCTGGAGTGCAGTGGCCGAATATCAGCTCACTGCAAGCTCCACCTCCCAGGTTTACGCCATTCTCCTGCCTCAGCCTCCCAAGTAGCTGGGACTATAGGCGACTGCCACCTCGCCCAGCTATTTTTTTGTATTTTTTAGTAGAGATGGGGTTTCATCGTGTTAGCCAGGATGGTCTCGATCTCCTGACCTCGTGATCCTCCCGTCTCGGCCTCCCAAAGTGCTGGGATTACAGGCTTGAGCCACCGCGCCTGGCCAACCAGACTTTTTTTAAAGACATAATCAATTATATGTACTTGAGCTTCTGCTTACTATGTACTTTAACCGTGAATGACAGCATGACAAGGTACAGAATTCTTACCTCATTGTTCTGTCTCAGACCTCTATTGCCATAGTCCTTTTGTCTTCTAACGTTGAATATTGCAGAGAAGTCTCAGGGTCAGCCTAATTCTTTCCTTTTTTAGGTGAACTTACTTTTTTGCGCGGTTACCTGCAAGTGTCTTTTATTATTTTTAAAGTTCATTTGATAATCATGTATCTTTTTTCTTTTTCCTCTGAGACGGAGTCTCGCTGTGTCACCCAGGCTGGAGTGCAGTGATGTAATCTCAGCTCATTGCAACCTCCGCCTCCCAAGTTCAAGCGATTCTCCTGCCTCAGCCTCCCAAGTAGCTGGCACTACAGGCATATGCCACTACGCCCTGCTAATATTTGTATTTTTAGTAGATATGGGATTTCACCATATTAACCAGGCTGGTGTTGAACTCCTGACCTCAGGTGATCCGTCCACCTCAGCCTTCCAAAGTGCTGGGATTACAGTCGTGAGCCACTGCACCGGGCCAATTTGTTTTTGTTTTTGTTGTTGTTGTTGTTGTTGTTGTTGTTTGAGACAGAGTGATATAATCTCAACTCACTGCAATCTCCACCTCTCAGGTTCAAGCAGTTCTTCTGCCTCAGCCTCCCACATAGCTGGGACTACAGACACACACCACCACTCGGCTAATTTTTTTTTTTTTTTTTTTTTTTTTGTATTTTTAGCAGAGATTGGGTTTCACCATGTTGGCCAGGCCGGTCTTGAACTCCTAACCTCAGATGATCCACCCATCTCAGCCTCCCAAAGTGCTGGGATTACAGGCGTGAGCCACTGCACCCAGCCTCAATTTTTTTCTGAAAGAGCATATTACTTGTGTCTTTTTTGTTAATTTGTATATTTTTCTCTTTTATTTGTTCAGGCCTCTTGGTTCAGCAACATGTTATGCTCTATTATCTGTCTTTCGTATTTTTTTCTCTAATCACTTTCAATTTTTAAATTTCATATTATTTGATTTTTTTTCAAGGTTTCTTTTCCATATTGCTGACTATTTTTGGTAGTATTCAACTTCTGCTCTAAAATGTGCCTTGTCACATTAAATTACTTTTTTAGTCTAATAAATATTCTTGAGTTGGGTGTAAGCGGATATAATGATTTTTTTGTTTTTTTTTACTTTTAAAAATATGTATATGGAATGCTTTATGAATTTGTGTATTATCTTCGCACAGGGGCCACACTAATCTTCTCTGTGTTGTTCCAATTTTAGTATATGTGCTGTCTAAGCGAGCACTGGTTTTTTAATTTTTAATTAAATTATTTATTCATTTTGAGACAGGATCTCTCTCTCTCTCTCTCTCTGTCACCCAGGCTGGAGTACAGAGGCATGGCTCACTGCAGCCTCGACCTCCCAGATTCAGTTGATCCTCCCACCTCAGCTTCACAAGTAGCTGGGACCACATGCCTGCTCCACCACACTCAGCTAATTATTTTTATTTTTTGTAGAGACAAGGTCTCCCTGTGTTGCCTGGGCTACTCTTAAACACCTGGGCTCAAAGGATCTTCCTGCCTTTTGCCATAGTACTAGGAATACAAGCATGAGCCATTGTGCCTGGCCAATTTATTGTTTTTAAAGAGACGAGGTTTCACTATTTTGCCCAGACTGGAATGCAGTAGCTATTCACAGGCATGATCATGGCACACTATAGCCTTGAACTCCGGGACTCAAGCAGTCTTCCCACTTCCCTCTCTCGAGTAGGTAGCTGTGATACTGGCACACATCCCTATACCTGGCTATTTTTAAACTTTTTATTTTAAATATACAATATATGGATGACTCTCAAAGGCATTGCTGAACAAAAGAAGCCAGACACATGGGAATTCATACTGTATGTTGATTATGTGAAGTTCAAGAACAAGCAAAGCCAATTACTGGCAATAAGTTGGATTTGTGGTTATCTCTGAGGGAAGGACATTGACTGGGGAAAGGTACAAGGGAATGCTGGAATCATGAGTTGGTAGAAATACTTTTTTCTTTTTCTTTTCTTTTTTTTTTTGAGATAGAGTCTCACTTTGTCACCCAGGCTGGAGTGAAGTGGAGTGATCTCAGCTCACTGCAACCTCCGCCTCCCAGGTTCAAGCAATTCTTGTGCCTCAGCCTCCTGAGTAGCTGGGACTAACAGGCATGCACCACCATACCCAGCTAATTTTTTGTATTTTTAGTAGAGATGGGGTTTCGCCATGTAGCCCATGCTAGCCTTGAACTCCTAAACTCAGGCAATCCGCCTGCCTCCACCTCCCAAATATTCTGTATTTTATACAATATTCTGTATTTTAATCTGGTTATAGTACATAATGTGTACATAGGTAAAAATTCAAGAAACACTTAAGATTAGTGTACTTAACACACTTTACTGTGTATATGTTTATATTAGGTTCCTATATAACCTGCTGCTGTAACAAATTACCACAAGCTAGAAGCTTAGTGGCTTAAAACAATGCAAGTTTACTGTTTTATAGTTTTGAAAGTCACAAGTTATAAATGAGTTTCACCATTCTAAAGTCATTGTATCAGGGGTCATGCTTTCTCTGGAGGATATAGAGGAGAGTCTTTTCTTTGCCTTTTCCAGCTTCTAGAACTGCATTTCTTGCATTCCCTGGATTATGGCCCCCTCCATCTTCAGAGCCAGTGGTGTGGCATGTTCAGATCTCTCTCTGCTTGTCACATTGCTTTCTCCTTTGTGGTAAAATCTCTCTACATCTCTCTCTCTCTCTTTTTTTTTTTTTTTTTTAAGAGATGGTGTTTTCTCTGTCGCCCAGACTGGAGTGCAGTGGCATGATCATAACTCACTGCATCCTTGAACTCCTGGCCTCAAGCAGTCCTCCCACCTTGGCCTCCCAAAGTGCTGAGATTACCAGCATGGGCCACTTTGCCTGGCCTTCTCTACGTCGATTTTAAGGACACTTCATGATTACATTTAAGGCCTACTTAGATAAACTGGGATAATCCCCCATCTCAAGATCCTTAAGTTAATCACATCTGCAAAGTCCCATTGTTCATTTAAGGTAACATTTGCAGAGTTTGGTGATTAGGGCCTGGATATCTTTGAGAGCCATTATTCAGCCTACTACAGTGTTATAACCTCAATAAAATAGTAAAATAATTCCACAATTCATTTTGATGAGCAGCTAAGAAAGAGTATCATTATCGTGATTGTCTGATTTGAATTAAACTAATGTTGTAATATCTCTTCTATGTAAGACTTAATGAGCTTAAGTTGAGGGAAAAATTGAGGCCACGTATAAGCTTCACAGCCAGGATATGTTTTATTGCTGTTAGAATAATCTTCAAAGAGGAACTTTAAAATCTTACTTCTTCAAGATCTTTTAAGAACAAGAAAGGCCTTACCTTGGCCAAGTGCAGTGGCTTACGCCTGTAATCCCAGCACGTTGGTAGGCCGAGGCAGGTGGATCACAAGGTCAAGGGATTCAAGCCCAGCCCTGGCCAAGATGGTGAAACCCCATCTCTACTAAAAGTACCAAAATTAACCAGGCACAGTGGCAAGAGCCTGTAATCCTAGCTACTCAGGAGGCTGAGGCAGGAGAATCAGTTGAACTAGGGTGGCAGAGGTTGCAGTGAGCTGAGATGGAGCCACTGCACTCCAGTTTGGGTGACAGAGTAAGACTCCATCTAGAAAAAAAAGAAAGGCCTTACTTCATCTGGAAGAGATGAGGCATAGCTAAATAAATCATCTTGGCTTATGGAAAAGAGAAGAGCCTTAGATATTCAAATGAGGCTTGGATCTCAGCTCTGCCACAGTAACTTTGTCACTTGGGACCTTAACCTGGTGTATTATTGATTAACAGTTATACCTGGCACATAGTAGGTACTCTATAAATGAGAAGGTCTCCTGATTTTTAAGAATTTGATTATTACGCAGAACCTACCCTTGTATGTAAAATGAGAATAATAATGGTACCTACCTCATTGATTTATTATAAAAATAAGATAAAGCATGTAAAGCCTCTAGAAAAAAACACTGATACAAAGTAATGTTCAATATGATAATATTTATTATTCTTTGTACTATACATATATGATAAGTTGTACATAATACACAAGGATCCCTGCTTGCTCAATTTTCTGACTGATAGTCATGCTTGGGAAAATGAGTAGACAATGAGAAGATTAAATCTGAGCAACTTCATAAACTCTTCGATTTTGTTTTGCTTCAGGTTGCCACATTCATCCTCCAGAAGATCTTGTTAGATGACACTGGTTTGGCTTATATATGTCAGACGTATGAGCGTTTCTCCCATGTTGCCATGATCTTGGTGAGTTCTTTCATCTATCCCCTTTACAACTACGTCTCATCACACAGCTTAATCTCTTTATAACTGGCACTGAACAACTTCAGTCTTCTGACTAGAAATAACAATTTTGGAACCTTTTATGATTCTTGGACTATCTGATCTCTGATGTCAATTAGAATTTTTTTGTGTTTTGTGTGTTTTTTTCCAACCCCTCCCCTTATTTTGGGGGAAACAGGGTAAGATGGTCCTGCAGCTATCCAAAGAGCCTTCTGCCCGTCTGCTGAAGCATGTAGTGAGATGTTACCTTCGGCTTTCAGATAACCCCAGGTAAACACTGATAGGATGTATAGGACTTTAGGGAAATACTCTGCTGAACAGTTTCCCAATCTCATGGCATAGCTCCTGTGTCTTTAGGACAGGGAAGTAGGGATATAACTACATTTAATTTGTCTGAGACAGAACTTAAATTCCTTTTAAAATCTGAAATGCTGGCCAGGCGTGGTGGCTCACACCTGTAATCCCAGCACTTTGGGAGGCCGAGGCAGGCGGATCACAAGGTCAGGAGTTCGAGACCAGCCTGGCCAATATGGTGAAACCCCGTCTCTACTAAAAATACAAAAAAAAATTAGCCAGGAGTGGTGGCGGATGCCTGTAGTCCCAGCTACTCGGGAGGCTGAGGCAGGAGAATCGCTTGAAGCCGGGAGGCAGAGGTTATAGTGAGCTGAGATCGGGCCACTGCACTCTAGCTTGGGAGACAGAGCGAGACTCCGTCTCAAAAAAAAAAAAAAAAATCTGAAATGCTGAATTTTAATAGCCATCAGAGTTTCATCTTCTCACTGTAACTCTCAATCCTACTGTGAAATTCCAGAGAGTCTAGGCGATTCCAAGGGAAACCTTATAATGCATTACTCCTGTTGTTTGAATTTTCTGTTGCTACTCTATGTGGTCAGAAAGAGAAGTATATTTTCAGAGATCTCTTAAAAAGGAACACAGCCCAGAGGGCTCTTGAATTCTATTTCCAGTTCTCTCCTTGATTCCTATAAGTTTCTTGAGCTAATTATTTTATCTGCTTATGTTCATAATCTTTCTGCCAGAAATCATACATTGTAGATATAATGCATTTTAGAAATGTTTGACCTTTTGCTTTGTAAATCCATAATTCATGCTGAAAGCAACTTGCTCATATTCTGCTAAACCACATAATGGAGCGATTTCTGTGTTCTTGGGAGCAGAGCTAGCTTGATTTGATTTAATGTGAACTCGGTCTCCTGCCACTGAGTTTATTCAAGCCCTACCTGTTTGTTGACCATTTTATCCTGTTCTTCAGTGGTTCTTGTTTTCACCAAAGTTTAAAAATGTGTCTGTTTAAAATTCTAGTCTGTTTAAAAAACTAGTCAGACTAGTTTCTAAAGAAAACTAGTCTGAGTGCAAAACTATAACTTTGTTTAAAATAGCTCTATAAATAGTTAACATTTACCTTTTTTAGGTTTTCAGATTTGACTTTCTGCTGGTCATCTTTTCAAAGAAAATGAAACGTTTAAAAGTTCATCTGATAATGCTGCTACCATAGTTTTGTTTTCACTGCTCATCTCTTATTAAGGTTTTTAACCATAAAACTGAAGCAATTTCTGTAAAGACACAAATTGATAACTTAGTATAGAATTAAAATTCATTAAGTTATCATAATCTTGATTATATCCTTGTTAATGTACTGATTTTTGAAATATTTTATTTGCCATAATCCATATATTTCTAACATGAGTATTTTGACAGTATTTACTGTAATAAATCAGAAAGCTGTTTGAATGGAAGTAAACTATTGAAGCTTTTAATTTTGCTTTTTCATGAAATTCTACATTGGGGCATCATTCAGAAAATGTTTGTGGATACAGATTTTGGAGATCTGTGAGCCTATGCCTAATACAGCTTTAGAGAATTTTAATGGCGTCTTAAGGAGCCATAGATTCACGGTATACTAAATATTTATGTCTAAGAAGGGGGCTCTTCCCTGTCCACAAAATGTGGGTTTATTTGTTGGTCTCCCTGGTTGGTTTGTTTGTTTCTGATGTAGGGCACGTGAAGCACTCAGGCAGTGCCTCCCTGACCAGCTGAAAGACACAACCTTCGCCCAGGTGCTAAAAGATGACACCACCACGAAACGCTGGCTTGCACAACTGGTGAAGAACCTGCAAGAGGGCCAGGTCACCGATCCCAGGGGTATCCCCCTGCCCCCTCAGTGATCCTTCCCTGTTCCCTCCCACTACTCCCCCAAATTGGGGAAAGGAGGGGGAACCTATGAGAAAAACAGCTCAGGTTTTATCACCGACTGGGAATAGACAACCTCAATGCTGAACCATACTGGAGAAAAGGGGCAAGGTACCCCTGCTGAGGTGCATGGGCTGCCATCTCAGGCCGTCTTGAGGACCTGGGCTCCCTCTGCTACTCCCAGGAAATGGGCTCCTGACACAGCAGTCTGCCACCACAGCCCCAGGAGGGTGTCAACACCAGCAAATGCTGTATTTGCAGCATGTCCAAGATGACCCTTCTCCCCTACCTCTACCTAGCCACTGGCAGGGAGGGGAGACAGTGGTGATAGCAGCAGCACTCTAGGCATGGTGAACGCCTGGGACCAAGCCATGTGGCGTTTTTTATTTTGCCTTCCTGGAAGACTCAAGATGTGTCTCTTCATTCTCTCTCAGTATTTGTTTACTTTGGTTTTTTTGTTTTTAATCTCAGAGAGAGGTGTGTTTAGTGGGCACAAGCTGTAATATTCAGCAAAACTTTGTCAATTGGCACTGTTTACAAGTCTGTTAGCTGCATAAGCTCAATAAAAAGTTGGTCTGGGCATTACATCCCCTCTGGCAGGCCAATAGCTGCATCAAGCTGTTGGGAGAAATGGGAGGGCAGGGGAAAGATGTAAAGCCAAAGGACAGCAGGAACCTACCACCTGTTTCCCTTCTCCCATTCTACTCCCAGTCTGGAATGCCACAAGGACCTTAACCTTGTTTCTGGCTTTAGCTGCTAGTTTTCCCAAATCTCCGTGCTTTCCCTTTTTAAAACTTCCCTTCTATTAAAACAGATGTCTTAATTCATCAGGCTGTCTTGGAAGGGTATTGTATTGAGGGACAAGGGGCGGTGGTGGACCTCACCTTCAATCCAAGTTTTCAAAGATACTTTCTCGATAACTCTAAAAGGGAGGTGCTTGGGATTAAGGTGACAATCTACTTGATCCTATTCTTTGTTTTAGTGTGAATTTCAGCAGCTCCATCTGTCTTCGTGATTATACTTGAGCAGTATTAGCCGTATGAGTTAATTTTATTCAAATTGAAGATGGTTGAAGATGGAGGGCTGGATTCTGCTCACTCAGTCTTTTTTTTTTTTTTTTTTTTTTTTTTTTTTTTTTGACACATTCTCTTTTGGTCTATGGGAATACAGGGTTGCCGCTAAAATATTCACTTGTTCTTACCGTATCAGAGATTTCCTCTTCTCTGGAGCTTAGATGGCTCTTCACAATCCATAGGCTTGAATCTGCAGCCAAGTGTAAACTGCCTTGCTTTCCCCAGTCCTTTCCCCTGCTAGCACCTACTTTCTCATCCCCATCTCCAATCAAAGATGGGATTGCTTAATCCACCTCTGGAGAGGGACCAAGTCTTTTCTGCCCACATCTCACCCAACTGAGGTGTCTGAACAAGTCTGGGGAGGGTCTATAAGGGGCAGGCTCAAAAAAAAAAAAAAAATTTGCGGAGGCAGTTTTGCCAACACAAGGGCTCCTTCAAGCCGACTTTCACAAAGAGAGCCGGACTTGTTAGTTGGCTTCTGTCTTTTTAGAGCCAAGAAAATAGTAATTAAGTCGCCTAGATATAAGAAGGGCAGAATAAGCACTTACTCCCCCTGCCTTCCAAGATGAAGAGGAGAAGCAGGCAAACCCTCAATAATCGCAAGCCTGAAGAGAAGTGATCTTAGAGAAAGCAGAGAACAGAATGGACTGGATACACATCTTGACTCTAGTCTGTAGTCTGAATAGAGTCTGGAGAGTCCAGTTAAGGTAACCCTGATTTTTGACAACCGCCTTCCTGCTGAGCCAAAGTTTTCTCATTCCCCCTCCACTGGGGAAGCAGCTGAGGCCCAGGGCCTTGCTCCCTGGGAAATTCTCTTCTCTCCATCTTTCGGTGCATTGGCCATGTTACTGTGCCAAAGTGTCTTAATTCTTGTCCCATCTATTCTCAGCTGGCCTTGGAACCCACATAGGAGTTGGTGGGGGAGGGGTGGAATGGATATTATTCATTGTAGTTGATCCTGATGTGTGTATTATATAAAGAGACCCCTCCCCTTATTTTGTGTTTTCCCATCCCTCTCCCTCAATAGGATTGAAATAAAACATGCTTCTGTTTTTGTAAAAATAATTTTTCCTTTACACTGGAGATTTTATTCTGTCAGTATATGGGTAACTAGGCACTTTGGTCAGGTGATCCTTGTCATGCCTGCTTCTACCCTCTATCCACCTACACAACACACACACACACACACAGCCCTACCAAGATGGCAGTGGTGGTTCTTTTGTGAACATGTTTTTGGGGAGACTTCATCTGAGGTACAAAAGCTATTTGGGAGGCTGGGAGGGGGATGATGCCCCTTGCCTGATGAAAGTATCTTTTACTGGGACAGAACTTCACTCCTGGCCATATTGGCCAGAACTTAGTGCCAGTGTAGGGAGAGACTTCCACAGTGACAAGGTAATGCTTGAAACACCTTATCATGAACTTTGATGTTCATTTCCTCAAGTTCAGGGCTTGGAGCACATCTCCAGGATTGTTTCCATGCCTGGCTCTCAGTGGGACACAGCTGACCTACGCTTCCACGTTCTTTTTTCAAGGGCCTTAGAGGGCCTGTGGCTGTTTCTTTGGTGGAACAGGAACAGCATTGGTAGCCTTCAGAGCATGCCTTCCTTACTAACTACATGTTATTCCTCTGCTCACTGTTCCTGCTGCTTAAAGGCTAGGAAAAGGGGGATATACAAAGTTGTTGCTTTCAAAAACCCAAAGAAAAAATTTGGAATAGGAAACCATAGAATAAAATATTTTTCTTTCCTGATACATTATGGAATTTAATTTTTGGAAAAATATTTTGATATGTTTATTTCAAAAGCAGATATAACAAGCAGAAAATGCGTTGGTTTGTTTTGTTTTTGGGAAACGGAGTTTCGCTCTTAATACCCAGGCTGGAGTGCAATGGCACGCTCTCAGCTTACTGCAACCTCTGCCTCCCAGGTTTAAGCAATTCTCCTGCCTCAGCCTCCTGGGTAGCGGGGATTACAGCCACCCTCCTCCACATCCTGCTAATTTTTGTATTCTTAGTAGAGACAGGGTTTTGCCGTGTTGGCCAGGCTGGTCTCGAACTCCTGGCCTAAGGTGATCCACCAGCCTCTGCCTCCCAAAGTGCTGGGATTGCAGGCATGAGCCACTGTGCCTGGCCAACAAGCAGAAAATTTAAATAACACAGTTAACATACCTGGCTTAATTGACATTCAGAGAACACTTGCACTCTTAACCAATAGCATACATATTCTTTTTAATTACACCTAAGCATTTATCAAAACTGATCATAGCTGGACCATCAAGCCTCAAAAAGTTTTCAAAAAATTTAATACAATATTCTCTGACCACAGTGAGAGTAAGCTAGGAAAAAGAACTAGAAAGTCCCTAGCTGTTTGAAACTTAGGCAGTATAATTCTAAATAACCCGTGGGTCAAGAAAATCGCAAAGGAAACTAGAAAAAAATATATATCTATATCTATACATATATATGTTTTTGTTTTTAAGGAAGAGTCTCTATTACCCAGGCTGGAGTGCAGTGGTGTGATCTCCGCTCACTGGAACCAAAGCCTCCTGGGTTCAAGTGATTCTCCTGCTTCAGTCTCCTAAGTAGTTGGGATTACAGGCACACACCACCACACCCACCTAATTTTTGTATTTTCTTAGTAGAGACGGAGTTTCACCATGTGGGCCAGGCTGGTCTCCTGACTTCAAGTGATCTGCCCACCTTGGCCTCCCAAAATGCCGGGATTGCAGACATGAGCCACCGCGCCCAGCCGACCCCATTTTTTTAAATACATAAATAAAAGCTGAGTGTGGTGGTGCTCTCCTGTACTCCCAGCTCTTGGGAGGCTGAGGCAAGAGGATTGCTTGAGCCCAGGAGTTCAAGGGTGCCGTGAGTAAAAAATACATAACCTCGGCAGGGTGTGGTGGCTCACACCCGTAATCCCAGCACTTTGGAAGGCTGAGGTGGGTGCATTACTCAAAGCCAGGAGTTCAAGACCAGTCTGGCCAACATGGCAAAACCCTATCTCTACTAAAAATACAAAAATTAGCCGGGCATGGCAGTGTAATCTGTAATCCCAGCTACTTGGAAGGCTAAGGATTAAGAATCACTTGAACCCAGGAGACAGAGGTTGCCGTGAACCAAGATGGCACTACTGCACTCCAGCCTGGGTGATAGAGTGAGACTGTCTAAGAAAAAGAAAAGAAATATATAACCTTAAATTCACACATTGCAAAAGAAGAAACACCAAAGCCAGTAATCTAATACAAAGTTCCAGAAAAGGGGAATAAATTCCAATTCACTTTTGTTTTTTTTGAGACGGAGTCTCGCTCTGTCACCCAGGCTGGAGGGCAGTGGGGAGATCTCCACTCACTGCAAGCTCCGCCTCCCAGGTTCACGCCATTCTCCTGCCTCAGCCTCCCGTGTAGCTACAGGCGCCCGGCCCCCATTCACTTTTGAAGCAGCATAACCTAGACAACAAAACTGGTTAAGAACATTACAAGAAAGGAAAACCAGGGACCAACCTCTCCCATGAGTGTAGATATAAGATTCCCAGACATACTAGATCTATCAATATATAAAAATGATAATGCATTAGATCTAACGGGTTTATTGCAAAAATAGAAGAGTGATTCAAAACTTGAAAATCAATCGCCAGGTGTGATGGCTCACGCCTGTAATCCCAGCACTTTGGGAGGCCAAAATGGGTGGATCACTTGAGGCCAGGAGTTTGAGACCAGCCTGGCCAACGTGGTGAAAACCTGTTTCTACTAAAAACACAAAAATTAGCTGGGTGTGGTCGTGCATGCCTGTAATTTCAGCTACTCGGGAGGTTGAGGCAGGAGAATCGCTTGAACTGGGGAGGCAGAGGTTACAGTGAGCTAAGATCATGCCAATGCACTCCAGCCTATGCAAGAGTGAGACTCTATCTAAAAAAAAAAATGCAATTCATACATCAACATAAAAGGAGAAAAGTCACACAATCATCTAGATAGATACAGACGAGGTCTACAGTCCGGGCGCAGTGGCTCACGCCTGTAATCCCAACACTTTGGGAGGCCGAGGCGGGCAGATCACCTGAGGAGTTTGAGACCAGCCTGGCCAACATGGTGAAACCCCATCTCTACTAAAAATACAAAAATTAGCCAGGCGTGGTGGCGGGTGCCTGTAACCTCAGCTACTTGGATGGCTGAGTCAGGAGAACTGCTTGAACCTGGGGGGTGGAGGTTGCAGTGAGCCGAGATTGTGCCACTGCACTCTAGCCTGGGTGACAGAGTGAGACTCTGTCTCAAAAAAAAAAAAGGGGGGGGGAATCAACAAAAACTCTACAGTAAACCTCTCAATAAAATATTATATTCTTTATGAGACAAGGAATTAAACACATTTGTCAACTATCACACCTCCATTTATCAGTCAGTAAAAAAAAATATTTTAAAGGAAAAAAAAGAAATCTTGGTATTTGCTAATATGATTGTGTACATAGATAATCTGAAATAACCTACAAACCCCTAAAAAGTAATAAGTGAGGCCGGGCGCAGTGGCTCACACCTGTAATCCCCTTCCTTTGGGAGGCCGAGGCGGGCAGATCACGAGGTCAGGAGTTCAAGACCAGCCTGACCAACATGGTGAAATCCCATCTCTACTAAAAATACAAAAATGAGCCAGACATGGTGGCACGTGCCTGTAATCCCAGCTACTCAGGAGGCTGAGGTAGGCTTGAACCCGGGAGGGGGAGGTTGCAGTGAGCTGAGATCACGCCACTGCACTCCAACCTGGGCAACACAGTGAGACTCCGTCTCAAAAATAATAATAATAATAATGTTAATAAGTGAATTTAGCAAGGTCACAGACTATAAGGTCAATATACAAAAAAAAAAGTCAGTTATGGCCGGGCACGGTGGCTCATGTCTGTAATCCCAGCACTTTGGGAGGCCAAAGTGGGAGGATCACAAGGTCAGGAGTTCAAGACCAGCCTGGCCAAAATAGTGAAAGCCTGCCAGGTGCAGTGGCTCACGCCTATAATCCCAGCACTTTGGGAGGCCGAGGCGGGCAGATCACAAGGTCAGGAGATCGAGACCATCCTGGCTAACACGGTGAAACCCGTCTCTACTAAAAATACAAAAAATTAGCCAGGCGTGGTGGCGGGCGCCTGTAGTCCCAGCTACTGGGGAGGCTGAGGCAGGAGAATGGTGTGAACCTGGGAGGTGGAGCTTGCAGTGAGCGGAGATCGCACCACCGCACTCCAGCCTGGGCAGAGCGAGACTCTGTCTCAAAAAAAAAAAAAAAAAAATAGTGAAATCCCATCTCTACCAAAAATACAAAAATTAGCTGGGTGTGGTGGCATGTGCCTATAGTCCCAGCTACTTGGGAGGCTGAGGCAGAAGAATCACTTGAACCCCGGAGGTGGAGGTTGCAGTGAGCCGAGATCTCGCCACTGCACTCCAGCTTCGGGAACAGAGCGTGACTTTGTCTCAAAAAAAAGTCAATTATATGTTTTCATACACAACAATAAATAGAAAGTAAAATTTCAAAAATAGTTTATAAAGCATAAGAAATCTGGTAGCTAGAAATAGATATATCAAAGGGTGTGCAGAACCTTTACATTGAAAACAATGAAACATTCTGGAGAGAAATTAAAAAGCTATATAATTGAAGGAATATATCATCTCCATGGATTGGAAAATAATATTAAAAATACTATGAGGATGCCAATTCTCTCAAATGGATCTGCTTGTTAAATTCAGTTCTAAGTAAAATCCCAGCAGGTTTATTTTTCTGAAAATTAGTAAGCTGATTCTAAAATTTTGCCAGAAGAGCCAAGGCAATTTTTTTTTTTTTTTTTGGAGACAGGGTCTCTGTCACCCATGCTGGAGTGCAGTGGAGTGATCATGGCTCACTGCAGCCTCAAACTCCTGGGCTCAAGCAATCCTTTCACCTCAGTCTCCCAAGTAGCTGGGACTACAGGTGTGCACCACCACACCCAGCTAATATTTTTATTTTTATTTTTTAAAATTTATTATTTATTTATTTATTTATTTATTTATTTAGAGACAGAGTCTTGCTCTGTTGCCCAGGCTGGATTGCAGTGGCGTGATCTCAGCTCACTGCAACCTCTACCTCCCGAGTTCAAGAATTCTCTGCCTCAGCCTCCCGAGTAGCTGGGATTACAGGCACCCGCCACCATCCCTGGCTAATTTTTTTGTTGTATTTTTAGTAGAGATGGGATTTCACCATCTTGGCCAGGCTGGTCTTGAACTCCTGACCTTGTAATCTACCCACCTTGGCCTCCGAAAGTGCTGGGATTATACGCGTGAGCCACTGCGTCCGGCCATATTTTTGTTTTTTGTAGAGACAAAATCTTACTGTGTGCCCAGGCTGGTCTCAAACTCCTGGGCTCCCAAAGTGCTGCCATTATAGTAGGCGTGAGCCACTGTGTGCGGCCAAGGCAATCTTAAGAACAAAATTGGAGTTCTAACTTTCTTTTTTTTTTTTTTTTTTTTTTTTTGAGAGTCTTGCTCTGTCACACCGGCTGGATTGCAGTGGCATGATCTCAGCTCGCTGCAACCTCTGCCTCGCGAGTTCAAGCGATTCTTTTTTTTTTTTTTTTTTTTTTGAGGCAGAGTTTTGCTCTTGTTGCCTAGGCTGGAGTGCAATGGTATGATCTTGGCTAACCACAACCTCTGCCTCCTGGGCTCAAGTGATCCTTCCACCTCAGTCTCCCACGTAGCTGGGACTAAAAGAGAGTGCTACCATGCCCAGCTAATTGTTTACTTTTTTGTAGAGCCAAGGTCTTGCTATGTTGCCCAGGCTGGAACGTTTTTTCTTTTTTCCTGAGACGGAGTTTCACTTTTATTGCCCAGGCTGGAGTGCAGTGGCGCGATCTCAGCTCACCGCAACCTCCGCCTCCCAGGTTCAAGCAATTCTCTTGCCTCAGCCTTCCGAGTAGCTGGGATTAGAGGCATGCGCCACCACGCCAGGCTACTTTTTTATATTTTTTAGTAGAGACGGGGTTTCTCCATGTTGGTCAGGCTGGTCTCAAACTCCCAACCTCAAGTGATCCGCCCTCCTCGGCCTCCCAAAGTGCTGGGTTTACAGGTGTGATCCACCGCGCCCGGCCTTTTCTTTTTTTTTAATAACACATTTTTGTAGATGAGACTCTTTTTTTATTATTATTATTATACTTTAAGTTCTAGGGTACATGTGCACAACGTGCAGGTTTGTTACATATGTATACATGTGCCATGTTGGTGTGCTGAACCCATTAACCCGTCATTTACATTAGGTATATCTCCTAATGCTATCCCTCCCCGCTCCCTCTGAGACTCTTTTTTTTTTAAAGGCGAAGTCTTGCTCTGTCACCCAGGCTGGAGTGCAGTGGCAGTGGCACAAACTTGGCTCACTGCAACCTCTGCCTCCTGTGTTCAAGTGATTCTCCTGCCTCAGCCTCCAGAGTAGCTGGCATTACAGGGATGCACTACGATGCCGGGCTGTTTTTTTATTTTTAGTAGATATGGGGTTTCACAATGCTGGCCAGGCTGGTCTTGAACTCCTGGCCTCAAGTGATCTGCCTGCCTTGGCCTCCCAAAGTGTTGGTATTACAGGCATGAGCCACCATGCCCGGCTTGTAGACATGACTTTTACCAATAGCACATACTTATATTTTGTTTTATGACCTTTTCTGAAAGTTTTGTCTCCTGGTGTAAAATACTATTTGTATTTTTCATTCTACTTTCCATCCTCTTTTTCTCTGGGTTTTTAAATACCACCTTGTTGCCTACTCCCCATGCCAACTTAATGAATTGAATAGCAGAACTGGGACTCTGTTTTTAAATTTTGTTAGAATGGAGGAGTGGCTATATATATATATATATGGATATGTATATTTGTATATTCTCTGGTCTTTTGAAGTTCTATATCCTAGCTTTTAATTCTACAGGTGATCTCATATTGATTTTTTTTTTTTTTTTTTTGAGACACAATCTCGCTCTGTCACCCAGGCTGGAGTGCAATGGCGCCGTCTCAGCTCACTGCAACCTCCGCCTCCCAGGTTCAAGCAATGCTCCTGCCTCAGCCTCCTGAGTAGCTGGGATTACAGGCGTGTACCACCATGCCTGGCTAATTTTTGTATTTTTAGTAGAGACGGGGTTTCACCATGTTGACCAGGCTGTTCTCAAACTCCTGACTTCAAGTGATAAACCTGTCTTGGGCTCCTGAAGTGCTGGGATTACAGGCACCGTGCCCAGTCCTTTTTTTTTTTTTTTTTTTGAGACAGAGTCTTGCTCTGTTGCCCAGGCCGGAGTGCAGTGTTGCAATCTCGGCTCACTGCAACCTCTGCCTCCTGGGTTCGATTCTCCTGCCTCAGCCTCCTCCTGAGTAGCTGGGATTACAGGCGCATGCCATCACACCTGGCTGATTTTTATATATTTAGCTGAGATCAGGTTTCACCATGTTGGTCAGGCTGGTCTCTAACTCCTGACCTCATGATCTGCCCACCTCGGCCTCCCAAAGTTCTGGGATTACGGGCGTGAGCCACCGTGTCCGGCCTTGATTTTTTTTTTTAAGAGGCAGAGTCTTGCTATGTTGCCCTGGCTGGTCTGAAACTCCTGGACTCAAGCAATCCTCCCACCTTGGCCTCCCGAAGTGCTGGAATTACAGGTGTGAGCCACTGTGCCTGGCCTTATATTGATGATTTTTAAATGAAATTTACTATTTTGAGTTGCGTTTTTGATCAGGAAGGAGTTGGGCTTTATTTCAGAAGTTTGAGTAGTTTGGTTGGATAATCTGGGGAACTGATGTCACACTTTCCAGCCTGAGTGTCCTGACAAGCGGAGATATTTAATTGGGTGGCATCTGCTCTGGCTGTCAGGAAGAGGGTCTAGGCAGGCCTGGGTGGCAGGGCGAGAGTACCATGTTTAGGTCTTCCTCTTTGCCAGCTGCTGCTTCATTTCAGTTTAGGGCTTCCAGGCTTTTCCTGGGCATGGTTCCCAGAAAGTCCCTCTGCTGCTACTGCCCTGATCAGGTTTCTGGATCTGTTAATAATAGACAGCAGTGGGGGAAGGGCCAGCCAAGATCACGGTGGAAATAGGAATAACCATACCAGATGGACATTTACTGTGCCGGGGGCCCTGTCTGTCTGCTCCCTCCCTCTGTGTCATGAGAGTCCTGCAGTGGGCATGCCTTGGCACTCTGGAACCATACTAACTTTGTGAAAATCTCCAAGTCCCTGCCCCAAAAATCAGAACATATGGGCTGAAGAATACTGTTGTGTTCATGAAAACATTGAAACAGAATATTTGAGATCTGGACTCTCCCAGAAAATCCACTATGAGTGATAACACCCCTCACAGATCACCCAGGAGGGAAGGAGGTTAGGCAGCATTAAGTTGATGCAAATAGTGACTCAGAAAGATAATACATAATCTGGGGGTGTAGAAGAGGAGTGTGGACTGTGAAGGTGAGGCTTGGAAAAATAAGCTGGCCATGTTGGGGAAGTAGAAATGGGATAGCAAGACAAGCATGTAAAACGCCCCTATTAAGTCAAATCTGAAATCAGCACAGTTTAAACTATGATGCCCCCCAATCTTCCTGTTCCCCATAAATGGCCTCCCTCTTAATGCCTCCCCTTCCTTCATACTACTACTCTTCTATCAAAACCTGCTCTCAGTAAAGAATATAGACAACCCGACCTAGGTATAAATTATTTAAAATCTACTTTGACCTTGGGATTGAATTTTTAAAAAATTATTTAAAATCGGCCAGGTGCAGTGGCTTATGCCTGTAATCCTAGCACTTTGGGAGGCCGAGGCAAGTGGATTGCCTGAGCTCAGGAGCTCGAGACCAGCCTGGACAACACAGTGAAACCCCATCTCTACTAAAATACAAAAAAAAAAAAGTAGCCGGGGGTGGTGGTGTGTGCCTGTAATCCCAGCTACTCGGGAGGCTGAGACAAGAGAATCGCTTGAACCCGGGAGGTGGAGGTTGCACTAAGCCGAGATCACGCCATTGCACTCCAGCCTGGGCAACGGCAAGACTCTTATCTCAAAAAAAAAAAAAAGAAAAAGAAAAAATTAAAATAATTAAGCCTTCAAAAATTAACACAGATATATATTTTAAATGAGATCTTAAAAAATAAATTTAAAAACATATAGAAAACTATATCAAAAGAATATATAGCTTAATAAATTATGAAGTGAAGACCCTTGTTAGCACTTAGAACTAGAAATACAGTTTAGCTAGCTATGCCAGAAGCCAGCTCTGTGTCCTATCTCATCACGATTCCTCCCCCTCCCAACAGTAACCACTAGCCTGACTTTTATAGTAATCACTTAGGAGGATTTTATTTTAATGGGACTAAAAAATGTAACTATAATCACTAATGGTAAAATATTGAGCAGTTGAGGGATGCTTGTGGGAACTATGATAGGCAGCCAGACCACAGCACACTTAAAATTACACCATTTCACACAGTTCCCCTCTGAGCCTATGCTTCATCTCGGCACACATCTTTATAAACATGCATGTATGTCCTGAAAGTGCTACCTCCATTCTGAGAGCTATGACCTATAACCCGGAGGTGCTGAACAAATGCTTATAGGAGGAATGAATGGATGTTAAAAAAAAAAAGAATTGTTTCACACATTCATCTATGCATTCTTTCAATATTTAATGAGTGCCTAAAATATACATAGATTCTAACCTCTCTGTCCCTCTACACTCTGTCATCATTCCTGTCCTCCCCTTCTCCTCATCTTCCTCTTTTCCCATTTTATTTCTTTCTTTCCCTGTGCGACAGAGCTAGAGTGAATGCCCTGCAGGCAGGATTCAGAGATACAGGAGCAGGCCAGTGGAAACAGACACTCTGGAAAGGAGCCAGATTAAATAAGGGCAAAGACAGCCGTATTACATGCGGGAACCAGAATGAAAAGCAGTGATTCACAGAGCACTGCAACTGAGGACACTCCCTTCACTTTGAGAGCTACTGTGGGATTGGGGTCAATGAGGGCTGGCATCAAGATGAAGGGCAGCCGGGCTCCTCCCTGAAGATGTGGTGCCCTTAATCCTTCTCTCCCCACCCCACCCCCACTACTCCCTCACATTGACCAGTGTCCTGGGCCTTTAAGAGTTGGATGGGCTGGACTGGAGAGAGCTCACACCTCTCCCCTTCTTACTGCTTCCCTCTGGCTATAACTCACCAGTCACAGCAGCCAGCTGCTGTAGAAGAGGGAGGAAACAAGCCAGTGCAAGGGGAGCAAAAGAGAAAAGGAGCCAGACTGGGCTTCCTGATCCCACAGCATCGCAGAGCTCGGGAAGCACAGCTCACAGACACAGGAAACACAGGACTGCTATTCTGCTCTCCTGCCCACGGTAAGGGTCTGGAAGCTCTGATTAGCCTCTGCTCCAAGCTCTGTCTTCCCTGAGTCCCTGCCTCTGCCCTCTAGATGCTTATCCACCCTGGTTAAATTGCACCCTACACTCCTTTCCTCATCCCAACAGCTCTACAGGGCTCCCAACTCCTGGTTCTCTCTAGCTTATCCTCCTTGATCCTTACAGCCTTCCTCCTGGCTGTATCAGTCACCCTTTATATGAGGTACCTCTCAGCTTATGCAGGGCCAGGAGTGCCAACCCTAGCCACTACTGAGGTGAGCCCCACCCCCAATAAGGGAAGAAAAAATTGGAGTAACTAAGCTTTAGCATAGATTTATTAACAGATTGTTGAGGGTTGCAAAATAGGGATTGGCCAAGAACCATGGGGAATCAGAGATCCCTGGTAATAGGGAGAGTTATGGAAGTCCCTTGGAAAGTTACCTAAGGAACTTGTTCTTTGCCTATTCAATGGGCCAGGCAGTTTCTTAGTGCACCAGAGTGCTATGTTGGTAAGAAAACCTACTTCTAGTTCTGCCTGTGCCATTAACTAGCTACGGGACCTGGAACCACAACTTCCAGATCTGTGATAGGAGAGAGTTTAGGGTTTCCCAGACTTGCCTGTGTACTAAGTGTACCTGTTAAAAATAAATATATTATTGAGCCCCACTCTGGGAAACTCTGATCTGGTAGATTTTTGGGTAGGGCTAAGGAATCTCAATTTTAAGACATTCCAGAGGCTATTGATGTAGCTGGGAATGTCTAGATTAGATGTGTTATAAAAGAACCTTCAAGCTCTAACATTCTATGACCTGTGACCAGAGCCATTTTGTCCTCTATATGAACCAGGTTAGGTATAATCCTTCCCAGAAGCAAGAGAGTGGACAAAATGATTATCTTTTTTCTTACCCCTCAGAGAGAACTGAGACACCCTGAATCCCACTGTAATCTCCTTGGTGCCATTGGTAACTCTGCCAAAGTACATCTCTAAATGACATGAAGTCTCTTAGAAATTGAGGACCAAATCATGCTCTGCAGCTCTGGGCTACTTCCCACCTCATTTTGTGTCTCTATTTTCATATCTGTATTAGAGAGGTATTTACTGTATTGTTGAAGATCTCCATATACGCATCTAGGAGTTAATATTTAAGACCAACCTTTCTTATTCTCAGACGTCACCCTCTGTGTTTTTCCCAGTGCCCTGACTCCCAAACCCTTTGTTCCTTCTCTTCTCACTGCACCTGCATCAGCTGTGGGCATCCTTCCCATTCTACCATTAGACACCAGAGGAAACAGCAAGACCTAGAACACCTAGGTTCTAACTCACATTGTCTGGGCAGTTTGTTTGGTCAATCTCCTAGGATACAGAGAAAAGCGAGGCTGAGCAGAGGGACATGCATGCTACTGAGTTCTGAACCCACGTGTCCTCCCTTCTGGACCATAATCTCAAAGGAGATGAGAATCAGAGCCATTGGGAATTAGTGGAGTCAAAAGAGGGAACCAACTGGAAGAGGTGATGGGGAGAAGGGATGAGGAGAAGGAAGAAAAGAGGAGAGACTGACCTAGGTGAGCAAATAGGAAGACAGAGAAAGGATTAGGAGAGAGAGTGAGGTGGGGATGGGGCTGGGCATAACAGCTCATGTCTGTAATCCCAGCACTTTGGGAAGCCCAGGCAGGAGGATTGCTTGAGGCCAGGATTTTGAAACTAGGGCTACAAAGGGAGACCCCATCTCCATACAAAAAAATTATAAATTTAAAAAATTATTTTTATAGTGAACTGGGAAGAAAGGAAAAGGACCAGGTCAGGCATGGGATGGGAAAAGGAAAGAAAATGAGATGAAAGAGGCTGGGCACGGTGGGTCACCCCTGTAACCCCAGCACTTGGGGAGGCTGAGATGGGTGGATCATCTGAGGTCAGGAGTTTGAGACCAGCCTGGCCAACATAGTGAAACCCCATCTCTACTAAAAATAAAAATATTAACTGGGCGTGGCATCACACACCTGTAATCCCAGCTACTCAGGAGGCTGAGGCAGGAGAATCACTTGAACCCAGGAGGCAGAGGTTGCAGTAAGCCAGTATCATGCCACTGCACTCCAGCCTGGGCAACAGAGTGACACTCCATCTCAAAAAAAAATGAATAAACAGAAATAAAGCAAGAAAATGAGACCAAAGAAAAGCAAGTCTATTCAGAGTACAGAGGGAACAGAAAATGATGGAGAGGAGAGACATAATATCTATGTCCCTTATTGATTCCTAGCCTTGCTTCAACCTGCTTTCTAGAGAAGGCCCTTTCTAAGAGCAGAGTCATTGTAAGATCCTTGAGCTGATTGTATGGAGACCTCTGTTCTTTTTTTTTTTTTCTCCTGCCCAAGACCAAGTTTCACTTTTGTTGCCCAGGCTGAAGTGCAATGGTGCCATCTCAGCTCACTGCAACCTCCGCCTCCCGGGTTCAAGCAATTCTCCTGCCTCAGCCTCCCAAGTAGCTGGGATTATAGGTGTGCACCACCACTCCTAGCTAATTTTTTTTTTTTTTTTTTTGAGATGGAGTCTCGCTCTGTCGCCCAGGCTAGAGTGCAGTGGCCCGATCTCCACTCACTGCAAGCTCCGCCTCCCCGGTTTATGCCATTCTCCTGCCTCAGCCTCCCGAGTAGCCGGGACTACAGGTGCCCGCCACTGCACCCGGCTAATTTTTGTATTTTTAGTAAAGCGGGGTTTCACCGTGTTAGCCAGGGTGGTCTCGATCTCCCGACCTCGTGATCCACCCGTCTCGGCCTCCCAAAGTGCTGGGATTACAGGCGCGAGCCACCGCGCCCGGCCTAATTTTTGTATTTTTAGTAGAGATGGGGTTTCACCATGTTGGTCAGGCTGGTCTTGAACTCCTGGCCTTACGTGATCTGCCCACCTCGGCCTCCCAAAGTGCTGGGATTACAGATGTGAGCCACTGCGCCCAGCCAGAGACGTTGGTTCTAATTCCAGTTCTGTCACTCACTAAGTGACTCTGGCACTAATTATTTTTAGTTCACCTAACCTTTCTAGTCCTCAGGCTCCTTTTCTATAAAATGAAGTCCAGCTCTGACCCTCTATGGCTCCCTGATTTGAAACTGGCCCTCTTATGACCACATGTCAGTCATGTGAATACAGGTTTAAAATAGTGATTCATGAATGGGAGAAGGATTGGAAGAACAAGGCCAAGCTTTGGGGTTAGAAGAATTGGACAAAGGAGGAAAAAATAATTTTCTAAGGCAGGTTTGAGTGGAGGAAGTCTCCAAAGTAAGAGTGTTCAGGCACTTGGGCTCTGTTCTCAGACTTCCCATGTTTCAGGACATCATTGTGAGGCTCCTGGACACAGGCATAAGGGAAGGAAATGCCATCTTCTTGCAGTCCCAAAGTTCACCGCATCCTAGAGTCCCTATGTCCCAGAGGTGGGAGCTAAAATTCAGAGAGGAGATAAGCCAGGATATTGGCAAAAGAGGTTAGACTTCAGCCCCAGGCCAATTCACTCTCCTAGAGTCTGAGAACCTAAGAAATTTTTGTTGTTGTTGTTGTTTTTGAGACAGAGCCTCACTCCATCGCCCAGGCTGGAGTATAGTGGTGCAATCTCAGCTCACTGCAACCTCCGCCTCCTGGGTTCAAGTGATTCTCCTGCCTCAGCCTCATGAGTAGCTGGGATTACAGGTGTGCACCACCATGGCTGGCTAGTTTTTGTATTTTTAGTAGAGATGGGGTTTCACTATGTTGGTGAGGCTGGTCTCAAACTCCTGACCTCAAGTGATCCACCCGCCTCAGCCTCCCAAAGTGCTGGGATTACAGGCGTGAGCCACTGCACCCTGCTGGACCTAAGAAATTTAAGAGAAGTCTGTTGCTTTCTTTTCTTTTTTCTCTTTTTTCTTTTCTTTTTCTTTTTCTTTTTTTTTTTTTTTTGAGACGTAGTCTCGCTCTGTCGCCAGGCTAGAGTGCAGTGGCGCGATCTTGGCTCACTTCTACCTCTGCCTCCCGGATTCAAGTGATTCTCCTGCCTTAACCTCCCTAGTAGCCACCACACCCAGCTAATTTTTGTATTTTTAGTAGAGACAGGGTTTCACCATGTTGGCCAGATGGTCTCAATCTCTTGACCTCGTGATCCACCTGCCTCAGCCTCCCAAAGTGCTGGGATTACAGGCATGAGCCATCTCCTCCGGCCAGATCTGTTACTTTCTACTTCAGTCTTCACATAGCTTCCGTAAGTCTCAGATTCCAAACTCTGTCCCCACTCAGAAAAGCAGAGATGATTTTCTGGCTCTCAGGAAACACTTTGGGTCCCTTTGTCCAATCAGAGGTTTCTTCTGGTCTCCTTCGGGCACACACATTCATCCTAAGCCAGCAAAATCTTTTCTTCCTGAAATTGTTTCCTGAAAGACTTCTTCTGAACCTTCCCCTCTCACTCTGGATACCTGTACATTACCACACATTTAGAAAGGTTTCTCTAGGCAGGGCGCAGTGGCTCATGCCTATAACAGCACTTGGGGAGGCCAAGGTGGGCGGATCACCTGAGATCAGGAGTTGGAGACCAGCCTGGCCAACATGGCAAAACTCCGTCTCTACTTAAAATACAAAAATTAGCCAGGCATGGTGGCACACACCTGTAATCCCAGCTACTCAGGAAGCTGAGGCAGGAGAATTGCTTGAACCTGGGAGGCGGAGGTTGCAGTGAGCTGAGATGGTGTCATTGCACTCCGGCCTGGCAACAGAGCAAGACTCTGTCTCAAAAACAAAAAAAAGAAAGTCTTCTTCTCCAGGTCTTGTGCTCAGGGAAGCTATATTTTTAGTGACCCCCCACATTCTCCCTGAAGGCTTAGTCACTACTAGGTGACTTTATAGGGTCTTCCCACAAAAGAGAGTGGGCACTAATAGACTGTGTGACCTCAGGCAAATCACATCACATTTCTGGACTTCTGATTTTTCATCTGTAAAATATAGAGAGTTGAACTAACTGCATGATGTTTTAATGGAACACTAACTGAATGGTTGCTTTACCAATTTTTAAAGTTCTTTTAAGATGTGCACCACTGTCAAAATTTTAAACTTTTAGGCCGGGCGCGGTGGCTCAAGCCTGTAATCCCAGCACTTTGGGAGGCCGAGACGGGCGGATCACGAGTTCAGGAGATCGAGACCATCCTGGCTAACACGGTGAAACCCCGTCTCTACTAAAATACAAAAAAAATTAGCCGGGCGAGGTGGCGGGCGCCTGTACTCCTAGCTACTCGGGAGGCTGAGGCAGGAGAATGGCGTGAACCCGGGAGGCGGGGCTTGCAGTGAGCTGAGATCCGGCCACTGCACTCCAGCCTGGGCAACAGAGCTAGACTCCATCTCAAAAAAAAAAAAAAAAAAAATTTTAAACTTTTAAATTAAGGAACATGGCCGGGCAAGGTGGCTCGTGCATGTCATTCCAGCACTTTGGGAGGTCAAGGCGGGCAGATCACCTGAGGTCAGGTGTTTGAGACCAGCCTGGCCAACATGGTGAAACCCCATCTCTATTAAAGATATAAAAAATTAGCTGGGTGTGGTGATGGGCACCTGTAATCCCAGCTACTTAGGAGGCTGAGGCGGGAGAGTCGCTTGAACCCGGGAGGTGGAGGTTGCAACGAGCCAAGATTGTGCCATTGCACTCCAGCCTGGGCAATAAGAGCAAAACTCTGTCTCAAAAAAAAGAAAAAATAAAAAAAAAGGAACATAACATTTTTCAGGTAGTGATACCCTTTTAAAAAAAGAAACACACAACATATTTCTATTCAAATGTAGGTTATTTGCTTACACAAAAGCATAGAGCTTTACATTTTATGAGATTTGTCAGTTTCAGCATGACCTGAATTTTGGTTTTTGGTTTTTGTTTTTTTTGAGACAGTCTTGCTCTGTCGCCCAGGCTGGAGCTCCGTGGTGTAATCTCAGCTCACTGCAGCCTCAACCTCCTGGACTCAAGCGAGCCTCCCACCTCAGCCTCCCAAGTAGCTGGGACCACAGGTGTATACCACCACACTTGGCTAATTTTTAAAAATTCTTTGTAGAGATGGAGGTCTCACTATGTTGTCCATGCTGGTCTTGAACTTCTGGGCCCAAGCAATCCTCCCTCTTCAACCTCTCAAAGTGCTGGGATTACAGTCTGAGCCACTGTGCCCAACCAAGAATTGAATATTTCTATAGGGGCATAACTAGAATCAGCGTGGCCACAATCAAATTTTCTAGTCCTTTTCAAGGGAAGTTTGTTGTCAGCTACTAGGACAACTTAACCAGGTCCTATATTTCACAGCATATATCTTTTTTTTCTTTTTCTTTTTTTTTTTTTTCTTTTTTTTGAGACAGAGTCTTGCTCTGTCACCCAGGCTGGAGTGCAGTGGCATGATCTCAGCTCACTGCAACCTCCACCTCCCAGGTTCAAGCAATTCTCCTGCCTCAGCCTCCCGAGTACCTGGGACTACAGGCGCCCGCCACCACGCCTGCCTAATTTTTTGTATTTTTAGTGGAGACGGGGTTTCACCGTGTTAGCCAGGATGGTCTCGATCTCCTGACCTTGTGATCCACCCGCCTCGGCCTCCCAAAGTGCTGAGATTACAGGCGTGAGCCACCGCGCCCGGCCCTAACTGGTTTTTTTCTTCTTTTTATTGAGACGGAGTCTCACTGTGTCGCCCAGGCTGGAGTGCATGGCACGATCTTGGCTCACTGCCAACCTCTGCCACCTGGTTCAAGCAATTCTCCTGCCTCAGCCTCCCAAGTAGCTGGGATTAAAGGTGCCTGCCACCACGCCTGGCTAAGTTTTTTGTATTTCTAGTAGAGATGGGGTTTTGCCATGTTGGCCAGGCTGGTCTCAAACTCCTGACCTCTGGTGATCCGCTAGCCTCGGCCTCCCAAATTGCTGGGATTACAGGCATGAGCCACCGCACCTGGCTGACAGCATATATCTTATAAGAGGTACCCTTTTTTGGTAGGTAGAGAAAATTTGAAAATGTGTTTCTGAGACTTGTATAACTTATTTGGTCCATTAAAACTGTGAGAATAGGGGCCGGGCGCGGTGGCTCAAGCCTGTAATCCCAGCACTTTGGGAGGCCGAGACGGGTGGATCACGAGGTCAGGAGATTGAGACCATCCTGGCTAACCCAGTGAAACCCCATCTCTACTAAAAAAATACAAAAAAACTAGCCGGGCGAGGTGGCGGGTGCCTGTAGTCCCAGCTACTCGGGAGGCTGAGGCAGGAGAATGGCGTGAACCCGGGAGGCGGAGCTTGCAGTGAGCTGAGATCCGGCCACTGCACTCCAACCTGGGCGACAGAGTGAGACTCCATCTCAAAAAAAACAAAAACAAAAACAAAAAAAACTGTGAGAATAACTGTAAAGAAAAAGTATAAAATATGCTTTACCATGTGAAGGTAGAAGAAGACAACTAAATATTGTCAAAGAGAAAAAAGAAAGTCTGGCCAGGTGTAGTAGCTCACACCTGTAATCCCAGCACTTTGGGAGGCCAAGGTGGGTGGATCACGAGGTCAGGAGATTGAGACCATCCTGGCTAACGTGGTGAAACCCCATCTCTACTAAAAGTACAAAAAATTAGCCAGGCGTGGCGGCACATGCCTGTAGTCCTAGCTAATTGGGAGACCGAGGCAGGAGAATCACTTGAACCCGGGAGTTGCAGTGAGCTGAGATCGCACCACTGCACTCCAGCCTGGGCAACAGAGCGACACTCCATCTCAAAAAAAAAAAAAAAAAAGTCTGCGCTAGTCGCCTCAGGAGCTGGACAGTCTACGTGGGAGCATAGAGAGGGCTCCCAGAATAGGGAAGCTGGAAGGATTCTACCTGGAAATAAGAAGGCTAGGATGTGAAGAGATTCTAGTTTCTGAAAGGGACATCCAACAAGATGTTAGTTCCTAATAATGAGAGGGTGGGGAGTGAGCAAAATGTGGCACTAGTAGACTGTGGGTTATTGGGTAGGAAGGGGGTGCTTGGTGGACTCTTTGGTTTAGCCTTCTCTGAAGATAGCCATGAGAAATAGCGGAGGCTCTGGGATCAGACATATCTTGATTTAAATTCTGATCCTTATGTGATTTGAGGCAGGTTTCTAGACCTATCTAAAGTCTCAGAGTCACTAAACTCAAAATCAGAAGCAAAAATCAGCTACAGACTATCTTTAAGATTCACCCAGAGTCCTTTGCTCTTCCTTTCTCCTTTAGGTGATCTGGTGCCAGCCGGTGGAACAGTGGGTGATGGCATCCCTGCTGCAAGACCGTGAGTGTCCCTGCAGGGGAAAAGGGCTTAGCATATAGCTCAGGGAAGGGAAGGAGGCTGGACCCCTGTTTGAGAGCTTTCCCTGGGCCTGCTACCCTCTCTGCTGGCTACCTAACCCCTGCTTTTCCTGACCTAGGGCTGACCACTGATCAGGACTTGCTGCTGATGCAGGAAGGCATGCCGATGCGCAAGGTGAGGTCCAAAAGCTGGAAGAAGCTAAGATACTTCAGACTTCAGAATGACGGCATGACAGTCTGGCATGCACGGCAGGCCAGGGGCAGTGCCAAGCCCAGCTGTGAGTGACCTGGATAGTGGGGGGTGGATATATGGGTGGATAGAGTCCTGAGGAGCCTGGCAGGGGAGGGACCAAAGTCCTATGATGGTGTGCGTTTGTGCTGTCCTAATTGTGGCTATATCTGAGCCTGTAAAAAGAGATCATAACACTACTTGCCTCATAAGGCTGTAATGAGGATTAAATTAGTTATTCTATCTAAAAGGCTCAGGAGAGTACTGGAACATAGTAAAACATAATAAATCATTGGTTACATCTTGTTATTATTATTATAAGACCATCATCTTGGGCATCAGCCTGCCTGAATTAAAGCCCTAGCTCTGCCACTTTCTGAGTAGCTGTGGAAAATCAAGTAGTTAAGCTATGGCTGGGCCTGGTGGCTCAATGCCTGTAATCCCAGCAATTTGGGAGGTCGAGGCAGGGGGACTGCTTGAGACCAGAAGTTCAAGACCAGCCTGGATAACATAGGGAGAGCCTGTCTCTATAAAAAATAAAAATAAAAAATTAGCCAGGTGTGGTGCTGTACGCCTGTGGTCTCAGCTATTTGGGAGGCTAAGATGGCAGGATCACTTGAGCCCAGGAGGTTGAGACTGCAGTAAGCTGTGATCACACCACTGCACTCCACCTGGGTGAGTGAGACCCTGTCTCTAAAAAAATACATGTATACATACATACATACATACATACATCAAGCTTCAGTTTCCTCATCTGTAAAATGGGGATTAAACAGTAGGTTACAAGGACTCAATTAGTTAACATGTAAAACACTTAGCATGCGATGTAAAACCAGAATGCATTTAATAAATGTTAGCCATCATGATAAATATTTTTAAATACAAAATTGCAGCCAGGTGTGGTGGATCATGCCTGTAATCCCAGCACTTTGGGAGGCCGAGGCAGGCAGGTCACTTGAGGTCAGGAGTTTGAGACCAGCCTGGCCAACATGGTGAAAACCCATCTCTACTAAAAATACAAAAATTAGCCGGGCTTGGTGGCGGGCACCTGTAGTCCCAGCTACTCGGAAGGCTGAGGCCAGAGAATCGCTTGAACCCAGGAGGCAGAGGTTACAGTGAGCCTAGATTGTGCCATTGCACTCCAGCCTGGGTGACAAGAGCAAAACTTGGTCTCAAAAAACAAAATAAAACAAAAAACAAAACAAAGTAGTGTGCACTTATTGGCCGAACTCTTTATAATAACAGGAAATAATTTGATCACAGGACACATCTAAGAGAGTCTGTTTTAGAGACAAATTGCTCACAATCCGTACCACCCCCAGCTGAGGTAAGAGGGTGAAAGAATTTCTCTGATTCCCTCGTAGACATCTGGAAAGAGGAAGCCCTCAAACCTGGAATGGGAGAACTGGACTTAGGGATATAATGCTTTAGTATAACTGCTTCTGCCTTTCAAATGTATTTCCATTTGTCATCCCCACCAGTCCTCCTGTGATCACCATTGGGGCTGCCTATGGAAGGGGACTATCCATTATATCAGATGAGGACACTGAGGAGTTAAGTCATTTTGGTTTGTGTCATACTGCCAGCTTGTGGCTGGAAGCCATGTCTTGCCACTCCCAGCACAGGCCCTTTGCCATGCTGCCTTTGAAAACATCAGTGATTCATATGGACTCCTGAATCCCTGGGGTCTGCATCTCTCTGTACTAATGCTTTTTGGGATTCAGTCTGCAGAGGCTGGGGTTCTTTTCTATGGTGTCATGGAGAAGGGGGTGCTGGTCCTTCACTCTTAGCCCCTGCTATTTGTTGGACTCCCTTCCTCAATGCCTTCACCTGCTTCTTCTCTGGCAGTCTCAATCTCTGATGTGGAGACAATACGTAATGGCCATGATTCCGAGTTGCTGCGTAGCCTGACAGAGGAGCTCCCCCTGGAGCAGGGCTTCACCGTTGTCTTCCATGGCCGCCGCTCCAACCTGGACCTGGTGGCCAACAGTGTTGAGGAGGCCCAGATATGGATGCGAGGGCTCCACCTGTTGGTGGATCTTGTCACCAGCATGGACCATCAGGAGCGCCTGGACCAGTATCGGCAGGATGGAGTCAGGGTGGGTGAGGGATCACTCTACCCCTGAAGGAGCCAAATCCAACAGGTTTAGGAAAAGTGAGAAGGGGTGCACAGCTAGGGAGGCCCAAGTGTCTAGATGGTATGGGCAGGGACAGCTCAGGTCAATGTGAGACAGAATACTGAGGGAGGAATGGATGCTAGGGATGACATAGCCAGGCATGAATCAGGACCCCCAGGATTGGAGGAAGAGGCAGTGAGAGGCAGAGGAGCAAACAAGATGCTTCTCCTAAGAGCTGCACAGAAGATCCCAGTGTCATTAACCGGCATATAGGTGGGAAGCAACCCCTTAGAAGGCTCAGTGACACAGACTCACTCCAAGTTTCCTGGATTTTTACCATTTCATTCATTTATTCATTCACGAGCTATTAAGCAGAACATATCAGGCACTATGCCAGACTGTAGGGGTCTGTAGAGGTGGGGTTTCACCACATTGTCCAGGCTGGTGTCAAACTCCTGGCCTCAGGTGATCCACCAGCCTCAGCTTCCCAAAGTACTTGGATTAATTACAGGTGTGAGCTACTGCACCTGGCCACACCTGGCTAATTTAATTTTTTAAAGTTTATTTTATGGGGGTCAGGTGCAATGGCTCACACCTGTAATCCCAGCACTTTGGGAGGCTGAGGTGGGCGGATCATGTGAGCCCAGGAGTTAGAGACTAGCCTGAGCAATGTGGCAAAATCCCGTCTCTACAAAACAAAACAAAAAATTAGCCAGGTGGATTACATGCCTGTAATCCCAGCTGCTTGGGAAGCTGAGGTGGGAGGATTGCTTGAGCCCAGGCTCAAATATATATATATATATATTTTTTTTTTTTTTTTTTTTTTTTTTCGAGACAGAGTCTCGCTCTGTCACCCAGGCTGGAGTGCAGTGGCACAATCTTGGCTCACTGCAACCGCCTCCCGGGTTCCAGCGATTCTCTTGCCTCAGCCTCCCGAGTAGCTGGGACTACAGGCACATGCCACCACATCCAGATAATTTTTGTATTTTTTTGTAGAGACAGGGTTTCACCATCTTGGCCAGGCTGTCTCAAACTCTGGACCTCACGATCAACCCACCTCGGCCTCCCAAAGTGCTGGGATTACCGGCATGAGCCACCATGCCTGGCCATGGGTACAAAGATTAATGAGATTCACATACTGCTTCAGTTAGTGAAGAGGATGGAATTGTGTAAATACTTTTCTGTTTGGCTGGGCACAATGGCTCACACCTGTAATCCCAGCACTTTGGGAGGCCGAGGCAGGGAGATCACTATATTGCCCAACCTAGGCAGCACAGGGAAGACTGCATCTTTACAAAAAATTAAAAAGTTAACTGGAAGACTATACTTTCAGGGGTAATTTCTATTGTTCATTACTAGAGAAGTTTCCCTGAATGTGTAGAGCACCATAAAATAAGTTTTTTTTATTTGAAACAGGGTCTCACTCTGTCACCCAAGCTGGAGTGTGGTGGCACAATCTCGGCTCACTGCAGCCATGACAGCCTGGGCTCAAGCAATCCTCCCACCTCAGCTTCCCAAGCAGCTGGGATTACAGGCATGTAATCCACCTGGCTAATTTTTTGTTTTGTTTTGTAGAGACGGGATTTTGCCACATTGCTCAGGCTAGTCTCTAACTCCCGGGCTAACATGATTCGCCCGCCTCAGCCTCCCAAAGTGCTGGGATTACAGGTGTGAGCCATTGCACCTGACCCCCATAAAATAAACTTTAAAAAATTAAATTAGCCAGGTGTGGCCAGGTGCAGTAGCTCACACCTGTAATTAATCCAAGTACTTTGAGAAGCTGAGGCTGGTGGATCACCTGAGGTCAGGAGTTTGACACCAGCCTGGACAATGTGGTGAAACCCCACCTCTACAAAAAAATACAAAAAAGCCGGGCGCGGTGGCTCAAGCCTGTAATCCCAGCACTTTGGGAGGCCGAGACGGGTGGATCACGAGGTCAGGAGATCGAGACCATCCTGGCTAACATGGTGAAACCCCATCTCTACTAAAAAAATACAAAAAACTAGCCGGGCGAGGTGGCGGGCGCCTGTAGTCCCAGCTACTTGGGAGGCTGAGGCAGGAGAATGGCATGAACCCGGGAGGTGGAGCTTGCAGTGAGCTGAGATCTGGCCACTGCACTCCAGCCTGGGCGACAGGGCGAGACTCCGTCTCAAAAAAAAAAAAAAAATTAGCTGGGCATGGTGACACATGTCTGCAATCCCAGCTACTCCAGAGGCTGAGGCACCAGAATCACTTGAACTGGAAAAGGTTGCAGGGAGCCGAGATGGTGCCACTGCACTCTAGCCTGGGTGACAGAGTAAGACTCTGTCTGCAAAAAAATTTTTTTCTTTAATTATAAAAGAATTTTTAGGCCGGGCGCGGTGGCTCAAGCCTGTAATCCCAGCACTTTGGGAGGCCGAGATGGGCGGATCACGAGGTCAGGAGATCGAGACCATCCTGGTTAATACGGTGAAACCCCGTCTCTACTAAAAAATACAAAAAACTAGCCGGGCGAGGTGGCGGGTGCCTGTAGTCCCAGCTACTCGGGAGGCTGAGGCAGGAGAATGGCATAAACCTGGGAGGCGGAGCTTGCAGTGAGCTGAGATCCGGCCACTGCACTCCAACCTGGGCGACAAAGCGAGACTCCGTCTCAAAAAAAAAAAAAAAAAAAAAAAAGAATTTTTATTTCTTTATTTATAATAAACAAATAAAGTAGCCAGGTGTGGTGGTGCACACCTATAGTCCCAGCTACTTGAGAGGCTGAGGTGGGAGGATCACTTTGGTCTGGGAGCTCGAGGCTGTAGTGAGCCATGATTGCATCACTTTACTTCAGCCTGGGCAACAGAGCGAGACTCTGTCTAACAAACAAACAAAAACAGCCAGGTATGGTGGTGGGCGCCTGTAATCTCAGCTACTCAGGAGACTGAGGCAGGAGAATCTCTTGGACCCAGGAGATGGCAGTTGCAGTGAGCCAAGATCGCCCTAGTGCACTCCAGCCTGGGTGACAAAGTGAGACTCTGTCTCAAAAAAAAAAAAAAAAAAGGGTCAGGCACGGTGGCTCATGCCTGTAATCCCAGCACTTTGGGAGGCCGAGGTGGGCAGATCACAAGTTCAGGAGATCAAGACCATCCTGGCTAACACAGTGAAACCCCGTCTCTACTAAAAATACAAAAAAAGGCTGGACGCAGTGGCTCACGCCTGTAATACCAGCACTTTGGGAGGCCGAGGTGGGAGGATCACAAGGTCAGGAGATTGAGACCATCCTGACTGACACTGTGAAACCCCGTCTCTACTAAAAATACAAAAAACTACAGGCATGGCGGCGGGCGCCTGTAGTCCCAGCTACTCGGGAGGCTGAGGCAGGAGAATGATGTGAACCTGGGAGGTGGAGGTAGCAGTGAGCTGAGATCACGCCACTGCACTCCAGCCTGGATGACAGCGCAAGACTCCGTCTCAAAAACAAAAACAAAAACGCCTAAAGGAATATGGACTTTTTTTGTTTTGAGACAGAATCTCACTCCATCACCCAGGCTGGAATGCAGTGGTGCGATCTGGGCTCCATGCAACCTCTGCCTCCCTGATTCAAGCGATTCTCATGTCTCAGCCTCCCTAGCAGCTGGAACAACAGGTGTGTGCCACCACACCCAGATAAATTTTTTGTATTTTTAGTAGGGATGGGAGTTCACCATGTTGCCAGGCTGGTCTCAAAACTCCTGACCTCATGTGATCCACCCACCTTGGCCTTCCAAAGTGCTGGGTTTACAGGAGTGAGCCATTGTGTCTGGCCAGAATATAGATGTCTTTCTGCAGGCAACAGGGAGGTCCCTGCAGGTGCCTGGACCATACAGTGACAAGACAGATTGGTGCTCTAGAGAGATTATTCTAGAAGCTGTGTGGAGAATGGATTGGCACTGGGGAGAGAGACTGGCAGGAAAGACAGGGGAGAGATGTAAGTGGATGAATGTGCACACACAACTCCACACACAAACAGACACATTAGTACTTTTGCCTTGACTCATACCTGGATGGCTGAGTGACTGGTTTCAACGTGGAGACAAAAATCAGGATGGTAAGATGAGTTTCCAAGAAGTTCAGCGGTTATTGCACCTAATGAATGTGGAAATGGACCAAGAATATGCCTTCAGTCTTTTTCAGGTGAGTCTGCGGGGAAGGATTTCCAACAGCCAACAAGGCCACATTTTCATTTGGCCAGAAGTCCTCTGACCCCAGTTCACAACACTCAATTGTTAAATCTCTGCTATGTGCCCTAAGTGCTAGGCTCAATGCTCTAGGCTTGATGGGAAGTATAGGGGGTGATTCTTGCCTTTCAGTCTTGTTGAAAAGTCATAATTCTATGAAAGGTAAATAACAATATGTTATTATGTTGGACCTCAAGGACCTCTCTGTCCATGGCCAGAATTTCACAGGTGCCTAGAACAAAGGAAAACCCCAGCTAGAATGTGAGTAAATAGGAGGAGGGATCTTCTGACCTTTTAGGGACCTTTGGGAGATTTAATTCTTTCTAGTTGAAAATTTTCTCTAGTAGCAAATGGTATGGCTAAAATTTTGCTTCTTACCTACTGAAGTGATTTATTCTATGAACACTAAATGTTAGGAGTTCCATGGGAGTTTTATGGAAGCATGTTTGGATCTATCTGTCTGTAAAATTGCTTTTACAGTGCAAGTCAAGGTCATAACATTTCCTGTTCTCCATGATGTGCTTATTTCACATTGCATGCTTATATCAAAACATCTAATTTACCATATAAATATATACACCTATGTACCCACAAACATTAAAAAAATTTTTAAAAATTAAAATAAAAAGATAATAACATTTCCCATTAAAAGGTTCATTCACTCTCCCCTAAACCCTCTCTTGCAGGCAGCAGACACGTCCCAGTCTGGGACTCTGGAAGGAGAAGAATTTGTAGAGTTCTATAAGGCATTGACTAAACGTGCTGAGGTGCAAGAACTATTTGAAAGTTTTTCAGCTGATGGGCAGAAGCTGACTCTGCTGGAATTTTTGGATTTCCTCCGAGAGGAGCAGAAGGAGAGAGACTGCACCTCCGAGCTTGCTCTGGAACTCATTGACCGCTATGAACCTTCAGACAGTGGTAAGATGAATCAGGTGAAGAGGCACCAGACATAGGGGTTGGAGAGAGGGGCATGATTACAAGGTCCAGAGACAAGCAGCCATCTGCCTGAGTGAAGGTTGAGTCTATCCCTATCCTGATCCCTACCCAATCATCTCATTTAACCACTCCTCCCAAAGGAGGGCAGGCATTCCCTGTTCAGACAAGACAGAGGTTTCCTCTGAGGTGCTAGATCTCTCAGGAGGAAGAAGAGTCCATGGCTCCCCATTCCTCCATTATGCTCATGTTTCCTTTACTTTCAGGAAGTTCTTTCTGATACCAGCTTTGCTCTCACTGGAAACGGAAAACCCTTGATCCTCTTTCTTTGGTCTCTTCTCTAGTGCATATGATTCCTTTTCCTCTGGTTCTTCTTTCATGGTTCCTGTTTGCTATTCCTTTAAATGCTGGCTCTCTGCCCTTTCCTGAGTTGTCTTCAATTCAAGTGGTTCTTGAGTCTCTAAGCCCCTGAGCCAGAAAGCCAGTTAGCCCGTGGCTGGGGGAATAAGGAGGCCAGTTATTTAGCTTTTAACGAGTGCAGCTGAAATATACCCTCTTGGTCTTCAAAGTTTCTTCCTCTTGCCTCTTCAGTAGACTCATTTCCTGCCCTCCATTCCCTTCAGATTGTGAGAAATTTACATTAATAATAAATAATTTACAAGGAACTTTCACATTCCTCATTTCATTTAGTCCTTAGTACAACCTTGCAAGTCAACAGTAATCTTTATTGGTCCTTTATTACATATCCCATAATGCTCTAATATCTCTATGTACCTTTTCCTTTTTCTTTTCTTTTCTTTCTTTTTTTGTTTTGTTTTGTTTTGTTTTTTGAGACAGTTTTGCTCTTATTGCCCAGGCTGGAGTGCAATGGCATGATCTCAGTTCACCACAACCTCTGCCTCCCGGGTTCAAACAATTTTCCTGCCTCAGCCTTCCGAGTAGCTGGGATTACAGGCATGTGTCGCCACACCTGGCTAATTTTGTATTTTTAGTAGAGGATAGGGTTTCACCATGTTGGTCAGGTTGGTCTCGAACTCCCGACCTTAGGTGATCCACCTGCCTCAGCCTCCCAAAATGCTGGGATTATAGGCATGAGCCACCACGCCTGGCATCTACCTTTTCTAATACAATGATCTGTTGAAATGGGTCCTGCTATTAAGTCAGTTGTATAAAAGAGGAAAACTGAGGTTTAGAAAGATTCAGTGACTTGCTCAAAGCCAACATAATGAGAGAGGAACTGAGATTCAAACCCAGGTCATCTGACTCTTAGCCAGTGCCTCTCTTGAGAATGAGGGTAAGAGCTGGGATGGACGAGAGCTCGACAAGTGATCCAGGTATTCTGGGTCTAAACTCTTACTCCCTTTTATTCATTCATTCATTCATTCATTCATTCACTATTTCAGTGAATGCTTATTGAGTTGCTATAATGTGTCAGGACCTATGGTAGGCACCAGAGATATATTAGTGCCTAGATCAGACAAGGACACTGCCCTCATAAAACTTAGAGTCACACAGAAAACATTACAATCAATTATTTCAGATTTGTTTGGGTGTTCAGAATAGAGGTTGTAGGCTGAGTGCGGTGGCTCACGCCTGTAATCCCAGCACTTTGGGAGGCCAAGACGAGCAGATAACCTGAGGCCAGGAGTTCGAGACCAGCCTGGCCAACATGGTGAAACTCTGTGTCTACTGAAAATACAAAAATTAGCCAGGTGTGGTGGTGCACGCTTGTAATTCCAGCTACTTGGGAGGCTGAGGCATGAGAATCGCTTGAACTTGGTAGGTGGAGGCTGTAGAAGCCGAGATTACACCACTGCACTCCAGCCTGGGTGTCGTAGGCAGACTATGTCTCAGACCAAAAAAAAAAAAAAAAAAAAAGAATGGAGGTTCTAAAGCAACCATTTCAGAAAATGAAAGTGAAGAGAGTTAAGAAAGGTTAAGAAATAGGATCTCTAGGCCAGGTGCTGTGGCTCACATTTGGAATCCCAGCACTTTGGGAGGCCGAAGCAGGAGGATCACCTGACATCAGGAGTTCAAGAACAGCCTGGCCTACATGGTGAAACCCCGTCTCCACTAAAAACACAAAAAATTAGCCGGGTATGGTGGCAGGAGCCTGTAATCCCAGTTACTCAGGAGGTTGAGACAGGAGAATCGCTTGAACCTGGGAGGCAGAGGTTGCAGTGAGCCGAGATCATGCCACTGCACTCCAGCCTGGGCGACAGACCAAGACTCTGTCTCAAAAAAAAAAAAAAAAAAAGAAAAGAAAAGAAAAAAAAAGAGAGAGAGAGAAAGAGAGAAATAAATAAATAAATAAATAAATAAATAGGATCTTCTGTTCCCTGTGCAGAATCCAGTAAACATCAGTTACATTTCTTTCAACTTTCGACCCCCACCCCTCTTGGTGTTTCCTTCCCTTGAACTTGACAATCAGATACTACATCTGGCTACAGAGAGTAGTATCAGTCAAAAAACCTGGGCTCAGGTCTCCACTGTGCTTCTTATTAACTGAGTAACTGTGAGCAAGTCACTTAATCTAACTAACTCAGTTTCCTCATTTGTAAAATAATTGATGACCAAATGAAATAATGCACATGAAAAGTATCTGACAACAGTAAATTTACCTGAGTGATTTATTACTGTCAAGAATGAAACTTTCTGACTGGGCACAATGGCTCACGCCTGTAATCCCAGCACTTTGGGAGGCCGAGGCAGGCGGATCACTTAAGGTCAGGAGTTTGAGACCAGCCTGGGCAACGTGGTGAAACCCCTTCTCTACTAAAAATATAAAAATTAGCCAGGTATGGTGGTGGGCACCTGTAATTTGAGCTACTTGGGTGCCTGAGGCAGGAGAATCGCTTGAACCTGGGAGGCGGAGGTTGCAGTGAGTGGAAATTGAACCATAGCACTCCAACCTGGGTGACAGAGCACGAGACTCCGTCTCAAAAACAAACCAACCAACCAACAAACAAAAAGAATGAAACTTCCACCAGGTGTGGTAGCTCATGCCTATAATACAGGAGGCTGAGGCAGGAGGACTGCTTGAGTTCAGGAGTTCAAGACCAGCCTGGGCAACATAGTGAGACCCCATCTCTAAAAAAAAAAAAAAATTAACCAGGCCTGGTGGCACATTCCTGTAGTCCCAGCTACTTGAGAGGCTGAGGTCAGAGGATTGCTTGAGCCCGGAGGTCAAGGCTGCAGTGAGTTGTGATCGTGCCACTGCATCCAGCCTGGGTGACAGAGTGAGACTCTGTCTCAAAAAAATAAAAGGAAACTTCCTGCCCAACTTCCTGTCCTTCTTCACAATCTCCAGGACTTGTGAAACCTGGAGCAAGGAAGCTGGCCATGAGAGTCAGGTTGTTCCACCTTCCAGGTGAGCCTCCTTGTAGCAACATTATTCTCAGTGAGACTGAACAGCCCAGTGGTACAGGGCATGACTCTGACACCTGGCGGCCTGGGTTCAAATCCCAGCTTCTACACTTACTAATTATGACACCTGGAGCAAGTTACCTCACCTCTCATGGCAGATTATATTACATCTACTTCATCATGTTAGTGAGAACATGAGTGAGATGCTGCATGGAATGCCCTGGGCATAGAGCGAGTGCTTAACAGTTGTTAAGTCATTGTTATTGTTGTTGTTATTGTTGTTGTATAAAGCCCATACTGAGATTGGAGGGAGCTATGGAAGGAGTAACAGGGCCCTTTCCTCAATGGGAGTGTAGTCTAAGGGGAGGTTGACAAATGCTCCTCAAAACATCATATGGGAACATGGACAGTAAGAAGAAATCCTCAGGCCATAGTTAGTCACAGGTACACAGCCCAAGGAAGAAAATACAGGTAGCTTGGCCATGTCACTAAGCCTTTGACTTTGATTCTCTCTGGGCCTCAGTTTCTCCATCTACAAAATTAGCCCTTTGGATGTTGTCCATTATAGTAACTGTGAACTCCATTTGGCTATTTAAAATTAAATTAACTAAAATCTAATAAAATTGAAAATTTAGTTCTTCAGTTACACAAGCCATATTTCAAGTGCTCAGTAGCCACATGTGGCTAGAGGCTACTATATATGACACTGCAGAATAAAACTTTTTCTCATTAGTACTATAACATAAAAAAAGACCAAAAAAAAGTAAAAAAAAAAAAAAGACATTTATCTCATTATAGGAAGTTCTATTGGATAGCACTGGACTTGAATAATCTTAATGATTCCTTTTAACATTCTTTGGGGGTGGGAATGATTGAAATGATACACACTAGGTGGGGCAAGTTTGGGATCTAAAGGCTGGGAATGGGTGCCATCTGAAAGGCAGGACTCTGGATGGAGTGGGAGGAAGGATGGTCTGTAGGTGTGCTGGGATGCTCCCATTCAGAGCTTCTCACCTAGTGTTCCCCTATCCACACTCCAGGCAAACTGCGGCATGTGCTGAGCATGGATGGCTTCCTCAGCTACCTCTGCTCTAAGGATGGAGACATCTTCAACCCAGCCTGCCTCCCCATCTATCAGGATATGACTCAACCCCTGAACCACTACTTCATCTGCTCCTCTCATAACACCTACCTAGTGGGGGACCAGCTTTGTGGCCAGAGCAGCGTCGAGGGATATATACGGTGCAGTGGTGGTAGAGAAGGGGTCCAACTCATGAGAAGGACTGTGTAGAAAAGTGAGGGGAGCTGTCAGTGTCTAACAGATTGGGACAGTGTTGTGGGGGTTTAGGGGCTGAGGAGCCCTGGGTACCAGAGACACTTGGCAGAGATATTGAAGATTGGTGGGAGAATGGTAATGAAACCCTATGGGTAAATGGAACTTCTCTTTCACAAGCTATGAAACTCTCCTGGAACTCAGAGGCCCTCACAGATTTATATTTAACAAATAAATAAACAGATTGTTAAATGGAAGGCAATAGAGAATAGGAGTTAAAAATATAGGTTCTGGGCTGGGCGTGGTGGCTCACGCCTGTAATCCCAGCACTTTGGGAGGCTGAGGTGGGCGGATCACGAGGTCAGGAGATCGAGACCATCCTGGCTAACATAGTGAAACCCTGTCTCTACAAAAAAAAGTACAAAAAATTACAGGTGGCGGGCACCTGTAGTTCCAGCTACTCGGGAGGCTGAGGCAGGAGAATGGCGTGAACCCGGGAGGTGGAGCTTGCAGTGAGCCGAGATCGCGCCACTGCACTCCACCCTGGGTGACAGAGCGAGACTCCGTCTCAAAGAAAAAAAAAATATATATATATAGATAGATAGATAGATAGATAGATAGATAGATAGATAGATATAGGTTCTGGAGTCAGACCATCTGAAATGATATCTTTCAGATATAATATATAAATATAAATCAGATATAATTTCTAACTCTTTCACTTGGTACTCTGGGGCTAAGTATTTAACCTCTATGCCTCAGTCTCCCCATCTATGAAACAGGGATGGTAACAGTGCCTATTCTGTCTGGGTTGTTGTGAAGAGATAATCCATATGTCAATAGCTAATAAGCAGTTGCTGATTTTATTGTGACTAATCATAGATTAGATTGAATAGTCAAGATATCTTTTTATTACCAGCAACTGAACTAGTAGCTTCAAGGGATACAAGGATGAATGGAACATATAGTTTCCACCTTAGGAAGTCTAGCTGAGAAATTAAGGTGTAAATATACTGACAGTTTGAATAACCAGGGTGTTGTATAGGGATATAAAGCCAGAACACCAGCTGGACACAATGGCTTATGCCTGTAATTCCAGCACTTTGGGAGACCGAGGCGGGGAGATCACTTGAGCCCAGGAGTTCGAGACCAGGCTGGGCAACATAGTGAGAGCCCGTCTCTACAAAAAATACAAAAATTAGCCAGGTATGGTGATGTGTGCCTATAGTATCAGCTACTCGGGAGGCTGACGTGGGAGGATCGCTCGAGCCTGAGAGGTCAAGGCTGCAGTGAGCCATGTAGCACCACTGCACTCTAGCCTGGGTGACAGATTTAGACCCTGTCTCAAAAAAATAAAAGTAAATATAAATAAATAAGTAAAACCAGAACACCAGAAGCATCATGAGGCAATGTGTGATAGATTGCTATGGAAGGACTGTGAGTCAGGTGGGCTGAAGTATGGGTGGAGATCAGCGTGAGCTTGCAGCAGTGTCCCCATGGATGGAGAAGGCTCTATGCAGATGTAGCTTGAAGGGGTCTGGATGGGTAAGCGCTGGTGAGCGCTGTTCTCTTCAGAGTGGGGAGACAGTCCCTAGATAGAAGATCCGATATTGACCTCTCCTATCTCTTGGGGGGATGGGGTTCTTTCAGGGCCCTGAAGCGGGGGTGCCGCTGCGTGGAGGTGGATGTATGGGATGGACCTAGTGGGGAACCTGTCGTTTACCATGGACACACCCTGACCTCCCGCATCCTGTTCAAAGATGTCGTGGCCACAGTAGCACAGTATGCCTTCCAGGTAGTAGCCCCAGAATGGGGACACTGGTGAGGCCAGAAGGTCTGAGGGAAGAGCGACTGGCTCTGGGTCTGGGGAGGGTGGAGGAGTGCAAGGGAAGTTCCATCAAGAGAGGATTTAACTGTAAAGCATCAGGCAAATACTAAAGGCTGATTATGAATAAGTGTTGGACGTGTTACTAATAATTCATAGTTATGGAGGTGATTACTTATGGTTAGAAACTATTACTTCTTCAGTCCAGGCATGGTGGCTCACACCTGTAATCCCAGCACTTTGGGAGGCCGAGGTGGGTGGATCACCTGAGGTTGGGAGTTTGAGACTAACCTGACCAACATGGAGAAACCCTGTCTCTATTAAAAACAGAAAAATAGAAAATTAGCTGGGCATGGTAGCACATGCCTATAATCCCAGCTACCTGGGGGGCTAAAGCAGGAGAATCCTTTGAACCCAGGAGGTGGAGGTTGCAGTGAACTGAGATTGCACCAGTGCACTCCAACCTGGGCAACAAGAGTGAAACTCCATCTCAAAAAAAAAAAAAAAACTATTACTTCTAACAAGTTCTATCACCCTTCTGGAAGAAGTGGATAGGAAACACAGAGATAGTGGTGAGCAGGGCTGAAGAACAACAGGAATCTGGAGGATGAAAACATGAGAGTGAAACATGAACACATAACCAGGAAATGTGGCCTGGCCTTCCCACTCAGAGCCTGAAAACTGAAAGGTCCCAGAGGGGCCTGGGTCAGACTTGGCACAGGTATGAGATTTAGGATCCCAAGATGTGAATGTGTCTTTAGCTGTGGGCAGTGTCCCAGGCATGGGCCTCAGACCCAGCAAGATCTCACTGAATCCTATAACGGAGTTGGAAGAGTTTAGCGATCAGGATACTCATTTGAGTGAGTAAGTAGGGAGGCCTAGGAAGCAGGTACTTGAAGAAGTAGGTTGCGGTGTTTTAGAACTCTGAATCCACTGTTCCCTCCCCTCACCACCAGACGTCAGACTACCCAGTCATCTTGTCCCTGGAAACCCACTGCAGCTGGGAGCAGCAACAGACCATGGCCCGCCATCTGACTGAGATCCTGGGGGAGCAGCTGCTGAGCACCACCTTGGATGGGGTGCTGCCCACTCAGCTGCCCTCACCTGAGGTAGGGACACTATTCCTCCAGCCCAGACTCTGCTGTGGCTTCCGGATTCCTCCACCTGGGCTCCTTCCTCTATGCCCCTCTTTGTTCCCTTTTTTCTATCCTCGGATGGACCACCTTGCTCTTTAATGTCCTTGGAGACAATTTTAACTTAAAATCTAATTGAACACAGAATTCTATTTATAGTTCTCTAAGTTTTAAATAAACAATTTACATTTTTTTTTTCTCAGTGGAAGTATCTTGATTTTTTTTCCTTGTAGTTCATAGTTGTTGTGGACTATACAAACCATATAAAGGGAAATCTCCCCTCCTATCATAATCCCAACCTCTCCCATAACAAGCAGCTATCGACAGATTTTTTTTGTTTTTTTTTTTGAGACAGAGTTTCGCTCTTGTTGCCTAGGCTGGAGTGCAATGGTGTGACCTCGGCTCACTGCAACCTCCGCCTCCTGGCTTCAAGTGATTCTCCTGCCTCAGCCTCCTGAGTAGCTGGGATTACAGGCGTGCACCACCACACCTGGCTAATTTTTGTATTTTAGTAGAGATGAGGGTTCACTATGTTAGCCAGGCTGGTCTCGACTTCCTGACCTCACGTGATCCACTCTCCTCAGCCTCACAAATTACAGGCCTGAGCTACTGCGCCTGGCCCTGAGTTTTCAAGTCATGTTTCTAAAGGCTTTCCCACAGTAAGATTATTCAGGCCAGGTGCAGTGGCTCACGCCTCTAATCCCAGCACTTTGGGGAGTGTTTTCCCAGGAGTACCCGAGAGCAGACAAGTAGACAGGCCCCTTCATTTTTGTCCCCTAGGAGCTTCGGAGGAAGATCCTGGTGAAGGGGAAGAAGTTAACACTTGAGGAAGACCTGGAATATGAGGAAGAGGAAGTAGAGCCTGGGCTGGAGGGTGAGCATGAGTCAGAATTGGCGCTGGAGTCCCAGTTTGAGACTGAGTCTGAGCCTGAGCCCCAGGAGCAGAACCTTCAGATTAAGGACAAAAAGAAGGTAAGCCAGGAGTGGTCTTTCTGCTTTGGTATTTAGTCAACTTGCACAAGCTGAGGGCCTGTTTGTGAAGACTGGAGCCGTGCAAGGTGCAGGGCCAAGGAGCAATGACCCTTCCTCCCAATGAAGGAGATTTAAGAATGCATATATGGCATCAACATATATTATATACTGCCCTATATAGGTATGTTGCAGTGGCTTTCCAACTTCTTTGGGCCACACAATCTTTCAATTTTTTTTATTAATGAAATCTTATACAAAATAGATAAATGCAGAACCATCCTAGTTGAAGCACCCATTTGGCTTTCTCCTGGGTGCCCTAGTGACTCTTAAGACATTTTTGTACTTCTTGGTTTTCTTAAAGGCCAGCTTGAAAACCAGTGATGAGGGGATGTGTGTGTCTGTATGTGTAACATTATTATATTGGGTAAGTAGGGGTTACTGGAATGATTGCTGTGACCTCAGCCAAAGTGGGCACAGAGAAAGCTTCTTGGAAAGGGTTTTAGGAAGGACCAGCAGTAGCCAGAGCAGGAAGGAGAGCGCTTTGAGGTGGGGAGGCTGAAGGCTCTGAGAAGGCTATGCTACAGTGGTCCATCTCCCTGTGGGGAAGGGAGGCACAGGAAGAAGGGATGCCATTGGTGGGGCCTCCAAAATCCTGGTTTGAAGTCTGCCTTTCTCTCTCTTGTGCATTTGTGTGGCTCACTCAGCCGACTGACTCCTAGCTTATCCTGTGCTTTCTGGGGCTGTGGTGTCTAACATGCTGCCATGTCCAGGGATGGAAATGGGAATTCAGGAGACAAATCCAAAGATATAACTCTGGGACTCTCACATCCTTCCAGGTGTGACTTCCATGACCATTTGCATACCTTGACATATCTGTCTGGATTCATGTACATTTTGACCAAAGATTATTGTTCTTTTTAAATGAGAGGGAGGGAGGATAATGCCTCTCTGTTTAAAAATAATAAATTTAAAACCTCTTACCCAGGATGTAACATAGAGCAAACACAAGCCCAGAGGCTGACACTGATCCCAGCAATACATGCAGACCGCCTTTATTCCCATTCCCACCCCCAGGTTGTGACGTGTCCGCTGTTTTGTCCGTCTATCTGTTGTCAGATTGTGGCCCAGGCTCCTATTTCCAAGCCTGGGTCCCTTCTCTTGTCCCAGCAGGTGAGGCAGGAGGGAGAATACACTGGGGAGGCAGTGGGCAGAGGTTTAGGTTGGATGGCCATTAGCTTCTTCTCTCTCAGACGGCTGAGGGTTCAATTCCATCTTCTTTTCCACCTTTTCCAGAAATCCAAGACCATCTTGTGTCCAGCCCTCTCTTCCCTGGTTATCTACTTGAAGTCTGTCTCATTCCGCAGCTTCACACATTCAAAGAAGCACTACCACTTCTATGAGATATCATCTTTCTCTGAAACCAAGGCCAAGCGCCTCATCAAGGAGGCTGGTCAGGACCAAAATGGAGGGATGGGGAGGGAAGTGGGATGGATAGGTTCAGGCCCGAAGGACTGGCAGGTAAGTCCCAAGAAAAAAGACAAGGTATCTAAGGAGGGATGAAGGAGTTCAGAAACTCCTCAGAACAGGCATGGGTAGAGGAGTTATGAATAGTGGCTCAAGGGTCTAGGGGCAGGAAAGCTGGGGAAGATGGTCTGGATGGAACAGAATAGAGAGGCATAGTGAAACTTTCTGGAGCCAGCTTCAGATGCTGGAGAGAAGGGTGAAGGGTAGGCAGGGTCCTTGGGACTAGGGAAGTGGGAGATTCCACCCCACTTTCATCTCCCTCTCTATACCCTTTTACAGGCAATGAGTTTGTGCAGCACAATACTTGGCAGTTAAGCCGTGTGTATCCCAGCGGCCTGAGGACAGACTCTTCCAACTACAACCCCCAGGAACTCTGGAATGCAGGCTGCCAGATGGGTGAGGCAGCAGCAGGAACTGGGAAGAGGGAGTGGAGGAGCAGCAGGTGGGAAATAAGTTCTCTAGTGACAGTAGGGTTGGGGAATGCTCAAGAAAATCACTAGGCTGAGAAGTGCTATCAGTGGAGGTATTACCAGCAGGTACCGTGCACCCAATACCTATCTTCTTAACTCCCTGAAAGAGGGGCTGGAAGGCCTCCATGGTGAATCTTGCTCTTCTTTTCTCCTGGGGCCCTCAGTGGCCATGAATATGCAGACTGCAGGGCTTGAAATGGACATCTGTGATGGGCATTTCCGCCAGAATGGTGGCTGTGGCTATGTGCTGAAGCCAGACTTCCTGCGTGATAACCAAAGTTCCTTCCACCCCGAGAGACCCATCAGCCCTTTCAAGGCCCAGACTCTCTTAATCCAGGTACAATGGAAATAAGCTGTTGGGAAGAAACTGAGATAACTGGGATAGAAGTGAGGGAAGAGGTGGCTAGGCCTGACAGGAATATTAACTGTCTAGTTTTAGCTTTTGGAGCCAGCTGCCTAGCTTCAAACCACAACTTCCTAATTGGGTAATGCTGGGCAAGTTCCTTAGCCTCTCCATACCTCAGTCTGCTCACCTGCAAAATGGGGGTAACACTACCACCTGCCTGACAGGGTTATAAGGAGTATAGCTGTTAATATGAAGTTCTTACAACTCCTGGTACACATGAAGTGCTATAAAAGAGGCTGATTGGGAGCGATAGCTTACACCTGTAATCTCAGCGCTTTGGAGGCCAAGGCAGGAGGATTGCTCGAGCCCAGGAGTTTGAGACCAGCCTGGACAACAGTGAGACCCCTATCTCTACAAAAAATTTAAAAATTAGCCTGGCACATGACTATAGTCCTGGCTACTTAGGAGACTAAAGCTGGAGGGTCACTTGAGCCCAGGAGTTAGAGGTTGTAGTGAGTGATGACCGCCCCACTGCATTCCAGCTTGGACGACAGTCTCATCGTGTCTCTTTGAAAAAAAAAAAAAAAAAGGCCGGGCGCGGTGGCTCAAGCCTGTAATCCCAGCACTTTGGGAGGCCGAGGCGGGCGGATCACAAGGTCAGGAGATCGAGACCACAGTGAAACCCCGTCTCTACTAAAAATACAAAAAAAAAAATTAGCCGGGCGCGGTGGCGGGCGCCTGTAGTCCCAGCTACTCAGGAGGCTGAGGCAGGAGAATGGCGGGAACCCGGGAGGCGGAGCTTGCAGTGAGCCGAGATCGCGCCACTGCACTCCAGCCTGGGCAACAGCGTGAGACTCCGTCTCAAAAAAAAAAAAAAAAAAAAAAAAAAAAAAGGCCAGGCGCGGTGGCTCAAGCCTGTAATCCCAGCACTTTGGGAGGCCGAGACGGGTGGATCACGAGGTCAGGAGATCGAGACCATCCTGGTGAACACAGTGAAACCCCGTCTCTACTAAAACTACAAAAAACTAGCCGGGCGAGGTGGCGGGCGCCTGTAGTCCCAGCTACTCGGGAGGCTGAGGCAGGAGAATGGAGTGAACCCGGGAGGCGGAGCTTGCAGTGAGCTGAGATCCGGCCACTGCACTCCAGCCTGGGCGACAGAGCGAGACTCCGTCTCAAAAAAAAAAAAAAAAAAAAAAAGAAGAGGCTGCTGTCATTAGCATGCCTACTTTCAAACTGTTGAATTTCTACCTGGATCCATTTTATTTTATTTATTTATTTCTTCTGAGACAGAGTCTTGCTCTGCTGCCTAGGCCGGAGTGCAGTGGCATGATCTTGGCTGACTGCAACCTCCGCCTCCTCGGTTCAAGTGATTCTCCCATCTGAGCCTTCCGAGTAGTTGGGACTACAGGCGCCTATCACCATGCCTTGCTTATTTTTGTATTTTTAGCAGAGATAGGGTTTCACCATGTTGCCCAGGCTGGTCTCCTGATTTCAAGTGATCCACCCACCTTGGCCTCCCGAAGTGTTAGGATTACAGGTGTGAGCCACTGCACCCGGCCCTTGGATGCATTGTAAATTGCAGATAGAACACTAGAAGAAAATATATTACCCATGGAGGATGTTCTGCAAACCAAAAAGCTTCTCCTCCCCTGGGATTGGGAGTAGGGTCAGGTGGGGCTGGGCTGAGCAGGAACTCGTGAGATTCCAGAGCCCTCGTTACAGGTGATCAGTGGTCAGCAACTCCCCAAACTCAACAAGACCAAAGAGGGGTCCATTGTGGATCCACTGGTGAAAGTGCAGATCTTTGGTGTCCGTCTAGACACAGCACGGCAGGAGACCAACTATGTGGAGAACAATGGTGAGAAACTGGCAGTGCTGGGGAAGTAGGGGTAGGAGCATGATTAGTTTTCCTTCTAGTCTGCCTTCCATTAAGTATAGTCTCTGTTATTGCATGTCCCTACATGGGAGGCAGTGTGGAACAGTACAAAGAATCCTAGCTCTTTACTTAAAAGCTCCAGTGACCTGGGCAAATTACTTGCTTACTCTGAGCCTTCTTCCTCACCTATAAAATGCTGATTGCCATCTAGATTAAATGAGAATACAAGAAAAGCAACCCAGTCAAGAAGACTGTCATAATGTCTTCTTCATTTCCTTCTATCCACCAACTCAGGTTTTAATCCATACTGGGGGCAGACACTGTGTTTCCGGGTGCTGGTGCCTGAACTTGCCATGCTGCGTTTTGTGGTAATGGATTATGACTGGAAATCCCGAAATGACTTTATTGGTCAGTACACCCTGCCTTGGAGCTGCATGCAACAAGGTGAGCCAGCCCCCTTTGACCCCTGGCCAATACCCCAGGTCTGACTGCCTTCTTAATGTTGTCCTCCTGCCCCTTCCAGGTTACCGCCACATTCACCTGCTGTCCAAAGATGGCATCAGCCTCTGCCCAGCTTCCATCTTTGTGTATATCTGCATTCGGGAAGGTCTGGAGGGGGATGAGTCCTGAGGTGGGCACTTCACGGGAAGGGTTGGTGTGCTGGCTTTAGATGGTGCGAAACACCTGGAAGGACGCTCTAGAGAACAAATGGAAGTGGTGAAAACCAAGCTTTGGATTGTGCATTCCTAGGCACAAAATTACCTCATCCTTCCTAACAAGCAAATCTGGGACCTGATTTTCCACCGTTTTTCTCTTTTCTTTCCTTCCCTTGTTTTCATAAGCCTTTGGTATCTTTCCTGCCCTTTCCCTTTGTGTACTCTATACTGGAGTTCCCTTCTTCCTCTTGCTGTAGGCTCAATCCCATACCAACATCTATGACTAATCTTTCCCATCAACTCTGTGTGAGGGCAGATTGCAATTAGAAATTCAGAGGGGCTTGGAACAGAGAAACCTAAAGAAGCATCATCCCCTCCACTCCCAACTTCCTCAAAGCCCAAAGCCAAGGGAAGGATAAATCAAGGCTCAAGGCTTCCCTGGCCAAGATTAGGGAGAGACTTGACCCCAGGACTGTACGACTTTCAAGAGAACACTGCACAGCACTCACAGTCCCCACTGGACTGCTTCCTCCTTAGCCCCACTGGTATAAATACATCTCTCTCCAATTTGGCTTCGATATGGTCTGTCATTGTTGGGCAAGGAGGGGAGGTACAAGGGTTGTGGGGACATCTGGGTAGTCAGGTGAGAGAAGGAAAAGGTAGACAAAGAAGTTCCCAGGAGACCTCCTGCATGTGCTACATAGGAAGGACACAGAGTATGGCTTTTAAGAATCAGGGCAAAAGAAGACAAAAGATTATGTGGTCCCAGCCTTCCTGAAGATTCTGGCTGGAACCATCCTGGTTTATGTCTGTTGTCCCAGCATAATTATTAAGAGTACCCTCTTTAAGTTTTCCCAGTGTGTCCCAGTTTAGATGATCAATTATATAGTAAGGCACTACAGAATTATACTGTGAAGCAGTTACAGAATTCTGAATTGGAGATTTTCTTCTCTAGTCATCTGCCTTTCCATAGTATCCTTGTGCTTTAACACCTTACTGCAGGTGCTGAGCCAGTGCGAGGATTGATGATGAGCTAAAGTTGCTTCTAGGAGAAGGCTTAGTGGGTAGCAATCCTCCCTTTATAGATACAGGTAGACAAAGGAGCTTGAAGTAGGGAGCTGGCCAAGGGTCAAGACAGCTCAAGGACAGAGAGAAGGCAGACCTAGGCTTGTTTCAGAATCAATACTGAGTGAAGATGGAAGGAGACAAAAGGGAGGCAGAGGTCTGAGAGGGGACAGAGTTGATCAAGATGACAGCCTGGAAATGTTAAGACAGGGATTTGGATAAATCTATAATGTAGTAACCACTTTCTGTTTAACATGCTTTATAGAGCATTAGGCACAACAGCACATGCGGTTAGATACAACTGTTTTTAGAAGATTCTGAAAGAAAACAGGACTTGACACAGTAAGAAGGAAAGAGAAGATTGAGTGGGTAAAATCCAGATCTTATAGCCAGGGACTTTGATGGAGTGATGGTGAAGAAACCGGGAACTCGCAGGTTAAAAACACAATGTACAGCAATAAGAAATCAACATTGTAGTCCATGTCCCCCTTTTATATGGGTGATAATTTCAAAGTACTATAGCCAGAGTCCCAGGAGGGTTCTAGTCACCCTTGCTCCCCAAAAGCCAGTCCTTCCTTAGGCTCCTCAGGTTAGTGCTGATCCCAGTCTGCACATCTCAGACCATACCCTCTTCCTATTCAGGTGGGGCAGGCTTTCAGCCCTCAGGTCCAGTGTGGGGAGTGGCAGGAGCAGGAGGGCTGGGATCCTCCAGCTGCACATCATGCAGGTGCACTGTGGGGGTGGTGGGGTCTTTGCCCACACCCTGGTTTGGGTCGGCTTGGTCAGGGTGGTGCCTGCGTATGTGCTTGACCACCTGGAACTTTTGCTTGGCCTTGTAGTTGCAGAGGCGGCAAAAGAAGGGGTGGCGGTCGGTGTGGGTGAGGGCATGATGGCGCAGGCCAGCAGCCCAGCGGAAAGCACGGTGGCACACGTTGCACACATAGGGTTTGGCCTCACTGTGCTTGCGAAGGTGGGTGCGCAGCAGGAAGCGCGTCTTGAAGGCCTTGCCGCACTGCTCACACATGAAAGCCCGTGCTTCTCGATGCCGGGTCTCCTGGTGCACACGCAGTGCATCAGCCCGGTTGGTGCAGTACTCACACTCAGGACACTGGTATGGCTTCAGTCCTACAGGGCAGAGAACAAATCACCATTGAAAGGCGGTGGAGCAAGGTTCAGTGGGCCATGGAGTTACTGATCGGTGGATATGAAGAATGCAAGCAGCAAGTTGACTAATGACCATATCTTTGGAATGCTCCAGTCCTCCAGTCCTGTTTGACATTTCTTTTTTTTTTTTTTTTTTTTTTTTGAGAGATGGAGTTTCGCTCTTGTTGCCCAGGCTGGAGTGCAGTGGCATAATCTCCGCTCACAATCTCTGCCTCCCAGGTTCAAGTGATTCTCCTGCCTCAATCTCCCAAGTAGCTGGAATAACAGGCATGCACCACCACACCTGGCTAATTTTGTATTTTAGTAGAGACAGGGTTTCACCATGTTGGCCAGGCTGGCCTCGAACTCTAGACCTCCGGTGATCTGCCCTCCTTGGCCTCCCAAAGTGCTGGGATTATAGGCATGACCACTGCGCCCGGCCCTGTCTGACATTTCTGTGCCTTTCCAACACAGAGTCCTTGTACATCAACAAGAAATCAATGTTGTAGTCCCAGCAATCAATGTTGTGGGTGCCCAATGGATGCTGAAGATTAACTGGACCTCTAACCAACTAGCTACGTGAGAGTAATGAATATTCAAATATGGAAGGGTTTCCACATGGGAAATAACCCTCTTTTGGTCACAGGGTACTCATGGAATTTGTCAATTCATTTAAACACAACTGCTTGTTCAACTCGAAAAGCCAAAGACCAGCCTGGGCAACAAAGTGAGACCCTGTCTCTACAAAAAAATTAGGTGGGCGTGGTGGCGTGTACTTGGTAGTTCCAGCTACTTGGGAGGCTAAGGCAAGAAGATCATGTGTACCCAGGAGTTTGAGGTTGTAGTGAGCTATGACTGTACCACTGCACTCCAGCATGGGCAACAGAGCAAGACCCTGTCACTGAAAAAAAAAAAAAAAAAAAGTAAAAGAAATACTTAGGAGGGGCCAGGCACGGTGGCTCACGCCTGTAATCCCAGCACTTTGGGAGGCCGAGGCGGGCGGATCATGAGGTCAGGAGATTGAGACCATTCTGGCTAATATGGTGAAACCCCCGTCCCGTCTCTACTAAAAATACAAAAAATTAGCTGGGCGTGGCGGCAGGTGCCTGTAGTCCCAGCTACTCGGGAGGCTGAGGCAGGAGAATGGTGTGAACCTGGGAGGCAGAGCGTGCAGTGAGCTGAGACTGTGCCACTGCACTCCAGGCTGGGCAACAGAGTGAGACTCCGTCTCAAAAAAAAAGAAAAAAAAAAAAAGAAAAAGAAATACTTAGGAGGGAAGAGGTAGTGGTGAAAGAAGTGGCATTCACAAAAGCAGAGGGCCTTGAAATGCTCCTAATCAATTCCTCCACACAGGGAAGATCAGATGCAGTAAGCACAGGCACATGGTTGTGTGCTTTCAAGAACCGAGTTTGTGGATTCCATCCATACCCAGGAGAAGAAAAGGACAGACTGGAACAGGAGACCCCTCTACTTTCTCCTTTTTAACTCATGATAGTTCTGTCATGTCTGTATAAGAGCCAGGCAAATCTGCCCTCAGTCACCCAAGTTTGAGTTGGGGGTTCTCACGAGGGGAAAAATGACTGACCTTGTAACACAGTCACCTGGGAAGCTTTTGGAAATTACATATGCACAGGTTCTCAGGTTTACCCTTCTGATTCTGACAGGTCTTCAGTGGGTTGGGGAGCCATTCTGGCACATACAACCCCAGCCTACCCTCTACTCCCAATGTGAAAATTGATGTTGGCCCTGAATTGGAACAAGGACCAACCTTGGTGAGGTGAGGTTTGCCAGGGAACAAGGGAACCCTTCAGGCCTGTGAAACCACACAGACTCACCTGTGTGCTTGGTCATGTGGTATTTGAGCTGGTTGACCCACTTGCACTTATAGCCACACTCAGGGCACAGGTACTTCCGTTCCTCCTTGTGGATCCGCATGTGGTACTGGAAGAGGCAAGAGCAAAAAGTAGAAAATGTGTACCCTTTGGTACTCACTGGATGTAGAAGTAGGGGTAAATAGGCAGAGAAACTGTTGGCAGATAACCCTGTTCCCTGCTCCCATCCTGTCCATAGGCCGCTTATCAACCAGGTCCCTGAGTTTTGTCAGTTTGGTATCCTAGGTTTGCCTTAGCTCTGTCACTTACTAGCTATGTCCCAGATGGTTTAATCCCTAATTCTCGGACTACTAATCTATAAAATGGGGAATAAAGTATCTATATCTCATATTTTTGAAATGATTAGAATTATAGTGCTAGAAATATAGTAAGTGCTCAATAAATGTTAGCTGTTATTATCTAGATTGTTCTTACCCTATTCTATGCCTTTATCATATGGCAAGCAGACATTATGGAACTTCATTTTTCTTAATCTTCAGTTTCTTGCTAGGAATTTTTTTTTTTTTTTTTAAGAGACAGGGTCTCACTCTATTGCCCAGGCTAGAGTGAACTGGCATGGTCACAGCTCTCTGCAGCCTTAACGTCCTGGGCTAAATCGATCCTCCCACCTCAGCCTCCCAAGTAGCTGGGACTACAAGCATGTGCCACAAGGTCCAGCTAATTAAAAAAATTTATTTTTATAAAGACAGAGTCTCCACATGTTGCCCTGGTTGGTCTCAAACTCCTGGGCTCAAGTAATCCTCTGGCCTTGGCCTCCCAAAGTGCTGGGATTACAGGCATGAGCCACTGCACCTGACCAATAAATTTTTATTTACTTATTTATTTTTGAGACAGAGTCTCGCTCTGTCGCCCAGGCTGGAGTGCAATGGCGTGATCTCAGCTCACTGCAAGCTCTGCCTCCTGGGTTCACACCATTCTCCTGCCTCAGCCTCCCGAGTAGCTGGGACTACAGGCACCTGCCCTGCTAATTTTTTGTATTTTTAGTAGAGACGGGGTTTCATAGTGTTAGTCAGGATGGTCTTGATCTCCTGACCTCGTGATCCGCCCGCCTCGGCCTCCCAAAGTGCTGGGATTACAGGCATGCGCCACCGCGCCTAGCCCTAATTTTTAAAATGGGGTCTGTTGCTCTGCTACCCAGGCTGGGGTGCAGTGGCATGATCATAGCTCACTGCAGCCTCAAATTCCTAGGCTCAAGAAATCCTCCCACCTCAGCCTCCTGAGTAACTGGGACTACAGGTATATACCACCATGCCTAGCTAATTAAAAAATTTTTTTTTGTAATGGGATCTCAATTTGCTGCCGAGTGGCCTTCAACTCCTGTCTTCAAGCGATCCTCCTACCTTCATATCTCAAAGTGTTGAGATTACAGGTGTGAGCCACAATATGGAACTTTATCTTTACAACAACCCTATGAAGTTGGTATTATCTCCTTTTTAACAGATGAATAATCTGGGGCTTGGTAAAGGAACTTTCCCAAA